CCCCCCCAGCTTTTTCGAATTCGGCGACTCATGCTCTCCAAACCTAAGTATCAGGAGCGTCTCGTCCGCCGACCAGGTTGCATATGCTGATTCCATCGCAAAATGAAGAGAAACCATGGAAAAACAGTGGAAACGAACTCAAGTTGGTCAAAACAACGCGATCAAAAAAGCTTGCAGGTCGCACACGGTCAGGATGCTGACCCCGTGACCCCGGAATTATGACGCAAAAACCGGTTCAATAAACCCTTAGCGTTCAGACCAGGTTTTTCGGTGGAAAAACCCCACAAAAACCCCTCAAAAACCACCTCCCGAGGTGGTTTTTCAAAATCGGATTTAAACCCCTAAAAAACCGGTTAATTTGCGTTCACACCAGGTTAAATAAAAACCGGTTTTTGAAAACCGGTTGAAACCGCTAAATATAAGTCTGGTATGAACAGGGTCTAAAACTTGTGTTTTCTCTTTGGAATAACAGGTGTCAATTTTATCTACAAAATAGTACAAACACACATATTTTAGAGCATTGTAATAAAACGTTTTTGCAAGAAACGTGAAATCACGTCCATGTAAGTGAGGACCTTGGGAACTGTTCTTGTGTCTCCTAAGAGGAAGTTCAAGTAGGAAACTGTACAACAGCACTTACATCAACCACTTGGTATGAGACTGTGGGACTGTGTGGGATATGTGATACTGGTGGGAGCTTTACCAGCAGTTCCCTTTGGTTTAGAATTGTAATGGGTCAATTGGGACGGTATTGTGTTCCACCAAATACGTTGATGCCATCGGCATGTACCTGGAAAGCTATGTTTGACATTGTAAGTGCTTTGTCGTGTTCTAATGTCATCCTTTCATCTGCTTACCTTACAGAGTGGCTACACATTGATACTTGAGGCTTGGGATCGGGACAACACCAGCCGGACAGGTATGCTACCGTCAGTTGTTGTGTACCATCACTGTCACGGTGAAGAGCTCACAAAGAGTCGCTTCAAAACAGGTCATTAATTCCAGGCAGACCGTCAGTCTATCTAAACCTACACAGACTCGCAGACCGGAATTCTGAACCGTCTGCTCAGTTTCAAAACAACGGGGGCCAGCTGAAATTTCTGCTGAACAAATAAAGCAGTGATAACCAAAATGGTGAACTCCTCTCACTTTTCCCATCATGCAAGATTTCATTTCCCATCATGCAAGATTTCACTTCCCATCATGCAAGATTAAAAAAAATACTGGTTGTTGGCTTTTTGAACCATCATCACCTTATATATTGGAATAAACTCATACATATTTCTAAGAAAAGTAATTACACTTCATATGAAAATTATGTTATGTTCTTTAAGAACTTTGATGTAGAAGATGTATATGATTAGGCCACACCAATTTGATTTGTTGGTTCTCGGATTTTTTCAGAAAAAAAATATGAAGCGACAGGGCGAAAAAATATGAATATGAAAATCCTATAAAAAATCCTGTGATAGCCCCAAATGCTATGATAGGAGCCATGAAGTCAACATACCAGGCCGGTTTGTAATTCAAACAATGAATTTAAAACTTTTAATCAAACCACTGCAATATTGATAGATGAAAAACTGTAACAATTCTGAAGTGGCCAAAATATTAGCATTTTGGAGTTGATTCAGAGTTTTTTTTTTTTTTTGCAAATAAAAAAAAATGAAGCGGGCGAATCTGTGAACCAACAAATTAAATTAGTGTGGTCTAATCAAGTAACCAATGAAAAAGAATGGTTGTTTGTTTGTTAGATTTTGATGTCATGATTTCGAGGACTAACACTTGTGGTTGTGTCTCATGCAGATGGCCTCATTGACAGTTACTCTGTCTCCGGCATGATTCACCCTGGAACTACCTGGCAGAATTTTCAGTACAATGGACCAACAGCAGTTATTGACTACAAGATCAGGGTACTGTGTGAGGAGCACTACTACGGATCCAACTGTAGCCGGTACTGTCGCCCCCGAGACGACTTTGTAGGACATTTTAGCTGTGATCAGAACGGGAATAAAGTTTGCAAGGAAGGATGGATGGGAGCTGACTGCAAAACACGTAAGTATACTTCTCCTATCATGATAGTTCATCTGTGTTGGTAGTTACATGTTTAAAGTTAAAACTTTTGGTCCAACACAAAAATTTCTCTCACCTAGAGCTTTCGACCAGTCACTCTGGTCTTCCTCAGTAGACTGACCCAGTGAAGCTTGTCACGTGGCTTGTTTGAAGTGTGACGTCAAGTATACTTCTCGCTGTATCAGAACGCTCGGGTTTTCTTTGACTCAAACAAAATCCGAGCTTGAGAATCTGTTTTAAAATCTGTACAACCACCCACCATCCCCTCCATTTTGAAAATGCCTCCTGAACACTTTTAATTTATCTCTCTGATACTGTAAATTCACAAATTTTTGAAGGGAATTCATTTCGTGGTAGAAGGGCAAAGTGTTTTTCTATGCTTCATCTTGGCTGAAACAATTCAGTAGTGCAAAATCTCAGTGTCATGAATTTGTGGTGGACAGGTCACGTCGAAAAAAAAAACGTAAAAAAAACATTTACAGTACTGAAACATTGTCTTTGAAAGTCTCCCACTGAACACGATTTATGAAATTTGAGATTGCACTGTACCTTCCTTTAAAACTCTAGATTAAAGATATTATACAAAGTGTAAGAAAAAAAATCTGCAGATATAAATGAGCAAATATTTTCCATAACCTGAACTGAAACAAAACTACAGACAAACTTGGAAGTTTGAGCTTCTGTCACCCCTGGACTCCTGGTTAGTTCAACTGGCATGTCGTCACGGTACACTCAGCTAAAGAACAAAGGTTTATCTTAGTTTATTCCTTTCTAGGAAAGGAATGTTGTCTATAACTTACGTATTTGAAACCGTTCAACCCTATCTGGCAGATACTGTGCAAGTGAAGTGAGAAGGATAATTCCACACATTCCAGCGATCCTTGTGGTATTGGGAGACCTTCGAAAGCAAGAGAAACTTTTGGCTTTAAAATGCCTCCTTAGGCCACACAAATTTAATTTCTTGGTTAACGGATTCGCCGCTTCATTTTTTTCTGATTTGCAAAAAAAAATCCAGAATCAACTGCAAAATGCTCATATTTTGCCCCAAACAGTTAAAAACAGCCCTTTTCTTCCTAGTTGTTACAGTTATTCAATTTTTCAATGCAGTGGTATCATTAAAAGTTCAAAATTCACGTTTAAATTTTGAACCAGCCTGGTGTGTTGACTTCATGGCTCCTATCGTACCATTTTGGGCCATAATAGGATGCCTAGGCCTGTTTTAATTTTTTTTCCGCCCGTCCGCTCCATTATTTTCTCTAGAAAAATCCGTTAACCAAGAAATTAAATTGATGTGGCCTTAGAGTTATTTTATTTTATATTTTTTGGTCTCATTAGTCTTTACTTAACCCCTAAAAGTAACATTAGTGATGAATTATAATGTCAGTGAAAGAAAAAAAATCAATCATAAGGGTATGAATGGAATTTATTGACTAAATGATTTGATTGACATATGTAAATTTTAAGCCATGAAAATCATAGTTTTAAGGTGTGTATTACTGAAAAAACTGTTGTCGTACAATCAAGTGTGTGATACAAAGACAGATATACTATAACGTTAATTTATATAAAGTAGGTCGCTTTTTGTATAGGTTATGGTGGTAATATTTGTATGTTTAGGACGACTTAGTTCAGTGAGTTACGCAACATTCGAATATTACACATATATCATGTATGTATGGACTATTATCACTTTTATGAATGAATAAATGGTTTATTTTTATCATTATTATCGAGTTAATGTTATTTTTCATATTCTTTTAACACTTTCTTCTTATATTTCCAGCTGTATGCAGAGTTGGTTGTGACACAGCACATGGGCACTGCTCTGTCCCGGGACAGTGCAGGTGAGTGTTCTCTAGAAATATCTTTAACTTTTAAGAGGGCCTGCAAGGGGGGCTGCCGACAACGCTCTACGCTGAATTCGGAAACCCTCGATTACGCTTTACGATAAATTCCAAGTAGCTACAACGCATTATGTAGGATTAAAACGGGTGAATACGCTCTACGCAAAATGCGAAGAGCGGTCCGTCTATGCTCTATGTAGAATTAAAACGGCCGATTACGCTCTACGGAAAAGGGCTTGTGGGCCAACTTTGGGGGAACTACTAATGGGAAATTTAAGGGGATGGCAACATTTAATGGGAAATTTAGGGAGCTAGCAAAGTTTAACAGTAAATTTAGGAACACTTAATGATGAATTCCAGATAGCAACTAATGTGCTAGATAGAATTAAGGTGATCATTTACGAACAATTAACTGACAATGCTTACTGTTGAGGGCTGGCTAGGATTAGTGGTGAATTAAAATAGCTTGATATGCCTCACGGAAAAAGGCATGCAGACCCTCTTTTGTCAAAATATCTTTGACGACCCGAGTTATTCAATTAGAAAGATTCCTAGGGATGACACTGCATTTTCACTCTAAGGCCACACCAATTTAATTTCTTGGTTAACGGATTTTTCTAGAAAAATAATGAAGCAGGCGGGCGAAAAAAAAATAAAAATAAAAACAGGCCTAGGCATCCTTTTATGGCCCAAAATGGTATGATAGGAGCCATGAAGTCAACAAACCAGGCTGGTTGAAAATTAAAACAATGAATTTTGAACTTTTTAAGATACCCTTACATTGAAAGATGGAATATCTGTAACAACTAGGATGAAAAGGACTGTTTTCAACTGTTCAGGGCAAAATATGAGCATTTTGCAGTTGATTCTGAATTTTTATTTTTATTTTCAAATCAGAAAAAAATGAAGCGGGCGAATCCGTTAACCAAGAAATTAAATTGGTATGGCCTAAGAAGAACCTTTTCTTTCTGTCTGTCATGTCAGCAAGAACTGTTGATACTGGTTGTCATGGCAGCGAATCTGCTGAACCATGAAATTTGCTTGATCGCTGTCGTCATTTCCACAAGATAGCTTTTATGTGTCAACCATAGAACTGTAATTTATGTCTTAGACTAGGATTTGAGACAGTGTTTGACTCTTCAGTGAGCTCACTTGCAATCAACATGGTCAAAGGATGAGTCAGGTGGTTTTTTTTAGTGAACTAGCCTTGGTTTTACCAAAGTACAGAAGTGTCGGCTCGAGAAACTTTTTTGCGATGGTAAATCCTACGATGGCGCATTATTACAAGCTCCAATCATTCCTTTTGAAAGTCAACCAAGTGGACGAGGGCTTGCCATGGCTTTTTTATAGTAAACAAATAGTGTTTGCTTATGTGCTGTAGGGTACTTAAGAGCATTGGGGCTAGAAGCCGGGGACCTGGGGACTGTTGGTGCGTGTCTGCCCCTCCTTGTTAATGAAAACAAAACGGGACGTGGACAATTTGTGATTGTGTGCTTGGCAGCGGCAAAGAAACCTTTAACAGGCCTTCATCCAAGTTCAGCGTATAGTTTGTTAACATTTCAGGGACTTGTAATCTCTGTTTACAAATGATAAGTTTTATTTTCTGAAAAGTTACACATTAATTACTGGTGGACTTCGTCGCAGGTTGGTTGTTTGCCGCGGTCATATTAGTCAAACAGGGCTGTTTATGATTTGCTTGTTGGGTTTGACCCCAGATATTTTGGAAATATGCAGCCTTTGTTCGGACCGTGTGGAGAGTTGTGATTGGCCGTCGCCGTGTGGTATCACCGTGGCGACAGCAGCATGCTGTCACGTACTCGGCCGGTACGCAGGTGTAGGGTGACTCACTCACACAGACTGTAGATCACCCCTGCCAATATGTCCAGACATGCTCAAGTACTTGTTTGCCCACTTCTGAACTTTCCCACAGTATGTATGCTTAGCTTCATAATGACAGTCTGCCCACTAGCTGCCCTTCCTTGTGTGCCCTACTAATTCATCATCACCTGTCACGCACGTTGTTTGCCAAAGTTGCTGTACCTTGATGTTTTTCGAAGATTATCCGTCCCCGCTCTCACCTTCCCTTTTTTCCCTACCAAAATGGCTGCTAAGTCCCTATAAACATCCTGTCAACATTCCGGGGTCTGTCTAATTTCATTAATCGGGAGCAACAAAAGTGTGGTGCTGGCAGCTTTTTAAAGTCGAGCACGCCGGCACACTCCAAACAATCATATATGTATACAGTTACATGCTGCATTGAGTGTATAGGAATGTGCGACTGCCGGCAGCGAGTTAATCTCGTGTATTTATAGTCCTCGTGGCGTACACAGTCTTCCTATTCATGACGCGAGCTTTCCCGTGAGAAAGTTTGCCGGTGTATGCAAAGTAGGTGTTGCGTCCTTTGTCATTTGATGACGGAGTTAGAATTAATAGACTCAGGGGATTTCAATTTGCACTCTGCAATCAAACATTGAACCCTTATGCAAATAATTGCAGGAGGGGTGATGTCCGGGAGGTGGTGACAGGGTGCCGCACGATTCCTGCACACTCTCCCGCCATTATTATTCAAATAATTTCACAGCTTGATGGCTGCTGTCATGAACTTTAAGCAGAAGATGGTACTTAGCAATCAGGGCATGACATTCTTGGCCCCGAAGCATGAAGGGATACCTGCGCAGCTATTGTGAAGAGGCCTGCCCTCCCCTTGTAAAAGTTGGTTCCTCCTAAGAGTTGCCCAGTAAATGACAGCAATTAACGCCTACCTGGGCAACTGTCTGGAAGGTATCTGGGGCCCTTTGTTCTTGCCTGAATGGAACACGTCCCAAACAAGAACAATCTGAGAATAGCCCGTGGGGCTATAGTAGGTCAACTATCCCGCCGACCCAAGTCTTTCGTTTGCGTCCAAATCGTGTTTTGTGCCACGTGATGTTTTCAACTAACAGGAAAAGAGTTTATCCAAGCTGAATCAGTACACCTTAACATACTAGTGTAACAGTAGCCGCCCCGAGGCATCTCTTTAGAGGTGTGCGGGGATTTGGATCGCATCTTTACAGAGTACTATATTGTATTGACACACCTTATTAGCTACCTTTTCTGATCGTGGTAGAAAGAAGGGGGTAAAGGGGGGGCTTTCTGGGGACCAATTAGAGTTTTTGGGACGCTGCCAACAGGTGTCACCTAGGTGTCGGCCCACCCATCCTTCTCACCTGACATCACACAGACAATAGATAATCCTGATAATGATACACCTGTCTGGAGGCATCTCCTTATCAGGACTTTTGGGCTTTGGTTCCCACACTCTGGAGTTGCTTGGGTAGTTAAGTACTGTCACTCTCCCAAGGATGACAATCGCAGCTGGTGTAAATCTTCCATTGTTGTGGCCTGCGGGCTGTTCGTACAGGGCGGCCCTTCCCACAGTACACGCAGGGCTGGGGATAATGAGGTTATATCATTCGCTGAGACCGAATGAAGCAATAAATTTCCAGTTTTTTCTTTAATGCTGGAAGGCCTGATCGCCATCTCTGACTGTAAACCACTTGGGGAACTACTGATTAACTGTTGTTGAATAAATTCCTTCTCACAAGTGTCATTACAGAAGTGCACTTGGTTGAGTTTGCCTGTTTAGATGGCCATTTAACCCATTAACAGAGCCTCTAGAAGCGCTCTTTTGTGTGGGAAAAGTAAATGGCACCTTTGTGAGTGATGGCACACCTTAATAACCTGAAATGGGCAGATTGTTGTGACCACCTGTTGCTTCCTTTTGTCCCCCACTTGAGAAATTTCCAACATTCGGTGGTCATCTGGATCAGAAAGTAACACCTTTTGTCTCTGTTGGCGGCATATAATAACTGTTTTCAAGGCCACTTAGGCTAAAGACCTGTAAAAAAAATACACTGTTATTTGTTTTGTGTAATAGTGTGGGAAGCTAGATTTGTGAATACTGTGGAAAAAACAATATGATACTGTAAATATTGAAAGTTTTGCTGCGACTTTATTTTCTAGCCTCCTGTGTGTGCAAGTCTCCGAGTATGTGGGTGATTCTAATACTGGGTTGTGTAGAATTGTTAACTTTCATTTTGTTTTGTTGGCCAAGGTAGGACAACCGCCCGTTGGAAGCCAGTTTGCATTTGGCTGTTATTATCATGATTTTTCACGGTGACCTCTACCCTGAATACTACATTGTATCCTTGTATACTGTACCATACAGTTGACAACACTGCGAAAACCTCGATCCCTTTCCCTTCAACCATAAAATAGCCACCACAGAAGTAAGCAAATCTACAGTAGCCTTACTAAGGCCACACTAATTTAATCAATTAGCACTAAAATCTGACATAGATGATGAATTGGTTCTCAGATTCGGCTGTTTCATTTTTTCTGATTTGCAAGAAAAAAAAAAATTCTGAAGCAACTCCTAAATGCTGAATTTTTTCGCCCGGTCGCTTCGTATTTTTTCTGAACAAATCCGATGAACAACAAATTAAACTGGTGTGGCCTGGGAATTATATTGATGTTGACAGACAACTGACAGGTTCCTTACTTGGATTAGTGGCTCCTTTATCAACAAGCCCCCGAGCACACGAGCAGTGGGAGCAGTGATTTTGTATTGTTCATGACCATGTCAACATTTTTAAGGGATTATCAATCGTAACTTCATGGTTTCACCAGCTGGACAGTTGGAACAGTCACTGTCTTATCAATAATATTCTTAATTTCATTTTAAGGAGTCATATTTTAGTATCGAGTATTAAAAATTTGAATATAGATTCACCTTGCATAATTGACATGTCAAGGTCACGTGGTGATGAAAAAATAGAGAAACAAAGTCTGCGGTTCCAGCTATATTTTATTATTATATCGTTTACTATTTTAATTAATGTTTACTGCTATACAGTATGCTATCACTGTGTCTATCTATGTATTTCTATTATGAATATATCTTGGAAATCAGTATGCCATAATATCAAATTGAAATGATAGGTCTGCAGAAATGTAGTATTGACAGACATTTGAATAAAAAGAATTTGTTTGCATATATACATAATTATGCACTAATGGTACCAGTATGTGCATTTGACTTTTACAGTAAGTTGCACTATCAATTTAAGAGTTTTGTCCTGGTTTTTCCCCATTTTCGGCAGTTGAATCCCATAATTGTAGAATAACTGACTCATCGCAATATCAGCAACAGATTTTTCTACCATATTAAATAAAATAAGAGCAGTTTTATGAGGGCCTACATGGGGGGGGGATCCTGACAACGCTAAATTTTGAGAGTCGACTACGTATTATGCTGAATTCAGGAAGCCTCCCCATTACATTTTGCGATAAATTCTGGGTAGCTACAACGCATTACGCAGAAACAAAACGGCGAATGACTATATTTTCTTTCAAAGGGTTTTTCCTGGCATCAGGCTAACTCAAGGGCCTCTTGTTTTATTTTTTTTTGCAGGTGCCAGTATGGCTGGCAAGGTCCTCTATGTGACCAGTGCATTCCTTATCCAGGCTGTGTGCATGGGAGCTGCAACAGTCCCTGGGAGTGCCTGTGTGATACCAACTGGGGTGGTCTGCTCTGTGATAAAGGTAGGTCTGACTTGTACTTGAACATGATGGAATTCCACGTGAGTATTAGCCATTACAATCAATACATTCCAAAGTACACTGTACATACATGTATTCTGGCACGAACCACTGACAATGAACATGCATATTAAAACATGCGTATGCTGGAACTCATAACTGACTTTTGACTGTATGTGTACATTTGTATGAGCAAGCTGCTTGCAGTATTGCTGCAGAAGGTCCATATAGTCTTAGTCATAGTGACTTTCTTTTTGAAATAACCCAGGCCCTGCACAGCTCTCCCATGACAGGCACGGCAATTAGAGCTGTCTGGGAAAGTGACCTAGTTCTGAACCCACCACATGACCTTGCACATACACACTCCTGTTAGCTGCTATTCCAGAGGAGGTTTTTTTAGAGTCCCATGATCCTGTTTCTGTTTGCGACAACCCCTGGTACACCGCTTCTCAGCTTTCATTCAGGCTCCCGCAACACGGCTACTGCTTTGTGTCGACCTACCCGTGACCTTGGCTTTATCTGTAAACTTTGTTTACTGTCCTAACAACATATCAGCCGACACCTTTGCGGACGTGTGCGTTACATACACCTGCTTGGCTCGGTATTCCTGGCTTGCTTCGTACAAAGAGGCAGTTAGCAGCTTTGTTCAATGTCAGGAGTCCCATAGATCAAAGATGGGAGATAAAACTGTCCCATCTGTCTTATCCCGCATCTTGATTATGTCAAAGTGACAGATAGTAGGTGTCAGGGAAGATGGTGGGAATGTCGCACAAACTACCCTGAATGTCTGGCATGTTTATTCAAATGTGAGCAAAAGCTTCAGGGTTCAGATCTAATTGTGTCTGGTGGCATGGGAAACAAAAAGATCACACAGTGTGGCATCAGCTGAAGAAAACGCGGTGTACCAACATCCCACAAAGTCAACAGCCTTCATTCATAATAAGCACCTTACAAAACAATGACAAAAGAATAGTTTTCAGGAAGCATAACGTGTTTATGTCTTGCGGGCTGTCTTCTTTTTCATACATCCACACGTACGGAATGTGGGGAAAAAAATCAGATGTTTGACCGAACCTTTCTCCGTAGATCTGAACTTCTGTGGCAGACACCAGCCATGTTTGAACGGAGGCACCTGCCACAATGAAGACCCTGATGAGTACAGGTGCGAGTGTTTGGAGGGATTTTCTGGAAGGAGCTGTGAAATTGGTAAGCCTTTTTAAAATGATATTATATTCATTTTTTATTAAATTTATTTTTCTGTAGCTTGCTTGAAGGTGTGGTGTGAATACTAGCCAACGTTCTGCTGCCCACCTCTTTGTCGCAGCAGTATAATCAAGTCCTTGGTAGAATAAAGAATTACATACTACTTCTACCGCTACTACGAAAAGTAAGAAACAAATACAAAGAGGTACCACAGATCATGACAGAAATCTAACAGAAAAATACAGAATCAAAGGAAGATAAAGAACATCAATGAACTAATACAAATCAATACTAGTAGTAATATCAATAAAATGACAAACTTGGCTATAAGTGGTTAAGTTATATGTCGTAACTGGGCTATAAGTATAGTAAAGTAAAGGGCAGAAGGGAAGGTTTGAAAAGTATGTATTTTAAAAATGTGGTGAAATATTGACAAGCACAGTTATTCCCTCACTCATTTTCTCACTCACAAATATTAGGTCTTATGCAACACACTTATTTTATTGTTGTTACTCTCTCTTTATGTAGTTTGCCATACATTGTACCATGTGCAATTGTTGTGCAATAAAGTTCTTCTTCCATGGCAAAAAAAAAAAAATATCCAGGCGATTTTTTTTCTTGTGTGAGAGTGATATCATGAGTGCTGTCATACACACCATCACGCCTGGTAGGCATAGTGGCAAGGTCACGCGCGCCAGTGACCTTTAAGTGAATCCAGTATATGTTCCCATGGCCAGTAGGTGTGGTACACAATGCAAGATAATCTATCATCACAACAACCAGTCACTGGTCCGTAATGCCCCCCGGCCACAAAACAAAGTCTTTTCAGGGACCTTTTTCACTGTTCAGAAAATATTGACCCAGTATAATTCATCATACACACATGTACGTACACTCAAGGTGGTAAACAGGGTAGATATATATCTATAACTCATGTTTTTTTCATTGCCAAATATCTCTTATTGACTGGTAACCTATTTTTTGTATGTAATTAGTCTATGGTGTAGGTTTCCTCATGACAATGCAGGTACAATGTGAGTTTGCAGGATGTAGCTGTAGTTGTTTATACCTGTTGTTCCACATGTAACGTTACATGGCATGTTGACGGACATGTACTATAATGGCCAGAGTAGAAATAGTTCCAAAACATGGTGTCATGAATTCCTAACTCGACACAACACATTTTGATCAGCTTTCTGACACGTTTGTTTGTGTATTGCATATTCTCTGATGACAATTATTTATTAATTGATCATAGTACTGCACTGTTTATACATTGGAAGGGTCAAGACATGATAGTTATTCAGGACAGTCACACTGCCTCCATGTAAACATGTTGTTTTGTTGAATCAAAATTGAGAAAAGGTCTCTGAAACAGGCGTAAAATGGGTACCTAACTTTAATTGGGGAGGTAAAAGGCAGTTGAAAAAGAGGGTTGGGCTCCACCTTTCAATACCATGCCCTGGACACAGTGAATATTCAACCCACTGCACCTTAGAAGAACTACCTGTACCTTTAACATTTTTTATACGTGTGTACATTATAAGTTACACTGTTTTTGTATGTCTCCCTATTACAGCTGAACAACCCTGCGTATCCAACCCGTGTAAGAATGGAGGTCAGTGTACGGAGGTGTCCAATGGTTTCCACTGTACCTGTGCTCTGGGCTGGACAGGAGACACCTGTGAAATAGGTACTTACTTTAACCTTCTCCCTGCTGCCTATAACCAATACACGTTTGGTGCCTAGTGGCTACCTTAGTATGCATAAGGTTAAAGCATGCTTTATAAGACCCCGTTTACACTAAAAAAATTTATCTGGATTGACCGCCGATCCCGATCAGAAATTCATCAATCCCGATCGACCCGCGCATTCACACTGCTTTTTGCTAATCCAGATTGCATGGCGCATCTCGCTCAGAAATGGATTGAGGTGTCACGTGATTAGAGCCCGCCATCTTGAACGTGTCATAGCCGCTGCAACTCCGCCATAAATTTTGCAAGACGGGAACTCAGAAAGTTTGTACAGGCTGGAATCTTAGCGGAAATAAAGAGAATACCGATCCGGATTGACCTCATTTCCATAATTTTGATCCCGATCGGCAGTCAATCCAGATCCATTTTTTTGACTGTGAACGGGGTCTAAGTCTGTTTCTGCTGAATACTGCCATTGGCTGAGACTTTAATGTTGGTTTGTTTATGCCCTTGTGTACTATTGGGCTTCTTGGGCACGTTGGCAGAACTTACTGAGTCTTGGCGAAACCTGGATTTTTCGTGTTTTTCCGTTGTATGTTTGGTCAACGTCGCATCAGAATTTTGCCCATTGCAGAAGGTATTTTTTCTGACAAAACATGTGAAAACTATAGATGGGATGTCATCCTTAAATATATCCTGGTCACCAGACCAATTTTAGCTTCCGAGTCTTTATCCTCTCCGCAAATATTCGCAACCAAACTTGAACACGCGAATACGACCTTAAAGGAGGCATTCTGTCTAAGTACTATGCACAAATACATTACGGGTTTTGCGCGGGCGCAGTATGCTCTACCAACGTGCTGGCTTCTTGCTACCAACCAAGATAAGATAGACAGTTTCTGTACAATATTTCAATGGCTTTGTAACTTAGAGAGGGCCTGCAAGGGGGGAGGGTCCCGACAACGCTCTACGCTGAATTCGAAAACTTCTTGATTACGCTTTACGATAAATTCCAAGTGGCTACAACTCATTACGTAGAATTAAAACGCTGAATACACTCCATGCAAAAATATTAGAACGGTCCGTCTAAGCTCTACGTAGAATTAAAACGGCTGATTACGCTCTACGGAAAAGGGCTTGCGGGCCCCCCTTAGACTGTCTTGTAGTCAGAAAACCTTCGAACCTCAAGATGTTTCCATCCAAGCATGTCGTCAAGGCTGTTGAAGATTTTTTTTCAAGTTTCAAAGGGAGTGTCCTTCATCCATGCATACTTAATGTTTATTAATCTACACTTCTATCCATTATGCACAGACACACTAATGAGTTTTTCACAGGTATTTGACTCCACACAAAAGGGACCCGTCGACCCTTTGTTCCAGTATCTGTAATTTTCTTTTTCTTCTTTTTAGACATTGATGATTGCACCGAGCCCAACCCGTGTGCCCATGGAGGAAGATGTGTGGATGAGTTGAATGGTTACCACTGTCTGTGTCCACCAGGATGGCTTGGGTCCACCTGTCAGATAGGTACAAGTCTCCTTCATCACATTTTCAAAATCTTAATATTTTTTTCACAGTTTTGTTTACACCAATTTAATTTGTAGGTTCTCAGGATTTTTAAAGAAAAATATGAAGTGACAGGGAAAAAAAAAGAGGCCCGGGCATCCGGGCATCCCAAATGCTATGATGTCAACATACTATAGTGTTTTTTTTAATTCAAACAATGAATTTTGAGCTTTTATGCATTGGTAGATGGAAAAACTGTAATAACTAGGACTTTCTTCAAATGTTATGTGCATCATGGAGTTGATTCAGAGGCTGAATACCTTTTTTTGCAAATTAGAAAAAATGAAGCGGACGAATTCAAGAACCAATTGATTAAATTGGCGTGGCCTTATTATTCTGTGTGGTATGTTACCAGACAAATAGTACTATCTTGCCCATATGTCATATACTCCCGCGTATTCTCACCCAAAGTAAACTTTCCTTTTAAATTTTACTTTGTCTTACTTTGTCAGTGTATGTGAAAAGCAAATTAATAGATTTAAAGCAAGTTGCATTGTTCCATGTCAGGTATATGAACTACATGTACAATACACAAGCCATGGCATTGTCCGCCTTTGTGTATATTTGATATGAATAATTGATAAGCTCTTGACTTCAATAATAACTAATATGACACCGCATACATCAAGCACTTGTTATTGAATCGACAGGTCTTTTATGATTAGTTTGATAGGGTGTAGCCTGACACAAAAATGTAGCCAGGCCATCATGCTAGTGGTAGTTCTTTGTGTTACTCAAAAAGAAAAGGTCTGATTCTCCAGATGATCAGTAATGCAGCAAACTCATTATGGTAATGTAAGGAAGAGTCAGTCTACCTTCAAGTACTGTAAATTCATTTATTATTGCAACAGTTTTAGGTAGGAGGTAAAGGAAGTTTTTTTTTTCAGTGTTAAATATGAATTCGCAGTCAAAACAACTCTGTAGTACAGTAGTTATACAAATGAGACATATTTGCAGTGTCATGAATTCACGGTGGAAACGGTGAAATTCACCAGGAAAATTAAACCAGCACAAAAGTTTCAAGATATACAGTAGTATCTGCAGGGTAGTAGAGAGACCTGTACCATGCCCGTAGCCAGGAGTTTGATTGGGGGGGTTCTTCCCACTGCTTGAGGGGACCTCGAGCGCCGTAGGCACAAGGCGAGTGCCGAAGGCGTGAGGTTCCTAAGGGGGTCAAGGGGGCATGCTCCCCCATAAAATTTTGAAAATTGAACCTTCTAAAATGGCATTTCGTGCATTTTTAGAGGATTTCCAAGATAAAATCAGAGATAAATTTTTATTCAGTAACAAAGGGAGCAGTTTTTCTACAATTCCAGTCCATCTTCTCAAGAAAAATCTAGGACCTTTGCATAAAAAGTGGGCCAAAAAGTGGACCTTTGAGCCTTGTGGGGGGGTTCTTCCCCGAACCCCCCCTGGCTACGGGCATGTGTACTGAGTTAGTCCATGTCTATCACATCCTTGGAAGCTTGCACGGCTAATTAAAGAGTTATTCCTGCTCATGCTGTGCATATCCTTGTCTCTGTCAGTCAAACCCCACATGTACAGCCCACAGCAATCATGGCTATTTACTCAGTTGGCCCAGGCAGTAATTGTAGAAATACAGATGTTAGGGAAATATTCCAATCAAATATAGTTTACCGTTCTGGTCATTGCAGGGACAGCTTTCTGGGAATTTGCTGCTAGATGAAATTATTCAAAGAAGAAATTATTATGTTAGGCCACACCAATTTAATTTCTTGGTTAACGGATTTTTCTAGAAAAAAAATGGAGCGGCCGGGCGAAAAAAAATAAAAATAAAAACAGGCCTAGGCATCCTATTACGGCCCAACATGATACGATAGGAGCCATGAAGTCAACACACCAGGCTGGTTCAAAATTTAAACAATGAATTTTGGACTTTTAATGATACCATTGCATTGAAAGATGGAATAACTGTAACAACTCGGATGAAAAGGACTGTTTTCAACTGTTCAGGGCAAAATATAATAATTTTGCAGTTGATTCTGAATTTTTATTTTTATTTGCAAATCAGAAAAAAATGAAGCGAGCGAATCCGTTAACCAAGAAATTAAATTGGTGTGGCCTTAGGCATCCTTAATGCAGGGTACAGGCTTGGATTTATGTTGTTGTTTTGGATAATGTCTTGTTTGGATTCCCCTAATCCCGTGTTTGTACGCAACTCAGATGACAACGAATGTGAAGACAGCCCATGTGAGCATGCCTACGCCTGCAGAAACCTGATTGGGGATTACGTCTGTGACTGTCAACCTGGCTGGATGGGGAAGAATTGTAACATCAGTAAGTATATAATAACTTGAAACTTTATTCGCAAAATCATGCCCGAAAGCTAATTGCTTTTACAATCAAGAATAATATTCATTGCAATACAGTAACAGGAGACAGGTAACAATCTGTCTGAAAAAACTTCTACTTCTACTACTACGCTAGCTATTATGGGGTTCGACTTCTTCTTTGTAGGCAGTGGATAATGAATAGTCCCACATTCTACAGAATTAGTGGGTTTTGTGATCTTAGTAGAAATGCAGTTTTTTTGTGATCTTCTAAATGACGAAAGGATGGAGAAATTGTTGTAACTGTCTGAAATAATCTGTTTCTTTCGGTCTCATAGTGAGGACACTGGCGAACAAAATGTATTTCATTTTCCACTGCATTCATTGGACAATATTTACATAATCTCTCGTGCACAGGTAGTTTTCTATAGCGGCCTATATACCTGCATTTACCTAAAATTAATTCTGTTATACTCGTTTAATTAGAATGAATGCTCTCGTTATGTTTCACTGCAAAATAATGAATAAAAGACCTTTATTGCACATTTTACGTGGTAAGTAGAATTACAGTCATTATATAGAAAGTAATACCAGTATCTGAATATGCTACAAGTTTACAGACTAATGTAAACTACTATGCACAGGTTCAACAGTTGAAGATGTATGAACATGTAGAGCTTATAATACATGGTTTGTTTAGTTCCATTAGGAATGTGAATTTGTGCTATCTAAATATGGAAACAAATAGGAAACTTATCTTGTTTGTTTCTCTCATTGTTGTATAATGTAGTGAAAAACAAAATGACACACATTTATGTAAATTACTCTAAGCTCACAGTGGTATATCCTATCTATATTTGCAGACATTCCTGACTGTACTGGACAGTGTCAGAACGGAGCAACTTGTGTGGTAGGTCTGTTTCCTATTCACCGCCGACAATAGGAACAAATAGCCTCACATTCGCTACCCTATTGGAGGGACATATTGCATACGTGTTGACCAAGTTCCCTACAGACCTGCCGTGGTATTTGTTCTCACAGTGGTGTTGGGTGGAGCATGGTAAGACCCAGACAGTCACAAAGGAAACAAGTGCCCGGTGTCGCCCCATAAAAATCCTTTGAAATATCCTTTCATGTTTTCCTTGTTGGGATGCGGGGAATGTTCATGCCACATGCAGGAGCGGTATTTGGGACAAAAGCCGGCATCGCCGTCCTGAATGTCTAGTTGTTTATACTGGCGGCATACTTCAACATTAGCGACCATTGCATCACCATGGTGATCCATATGCAAGGTTGCCATCTTTCCTTCGTATCATTTGCCCGACAACAATCTACAATTGTGTCCTGGCTGCTCACTCTTCTAAACATTACAACTTCTGTTTTAACATTACCTCTGGAACTTAAACATATTGTTCCAGAGAGGGTCATATCACCTTGCTGTATAATCTCCGGTCTTACCTTACAATCAACACCTGGTTCTAGGTATCCTGGTTACTACCTTCAAACCAGCAAATCTTTCTCACAGGGATCAAATGTGCAGGAATTCAGGCAATGCCAACCTGGAGGACTGTGTTAATTGAGGAAAGATGACCTTTCAGTTTGACAGCTGTCTAAATTGCCATGGTAGCTTTGTGGCGGAGGGGCCGAAATATTCTTATAATGTAAATGTGGGTTGGTGCGGTGACCTGAGGTCAGGGCTTGGCTGGGTTGGAAAGTTCAGTGTCCTGCCACCTGTTGAGTATGTATGGTAGAGATGGGGAGACCTTGTGTTATTGTCATTGTAATCTTGTCGATCGTGTAGCTGCCACTTTACTTGTTGTACGCATCTCAATATTCAACAACCCGCCATTGTGCTGTAATGTCCTTATTTGTAGAGACATGATTGGTGTTTGTCTGACTGTAGGATCTGGTGAATGGCTACCACTGCGAGTGCGCGCTGGGGTTCGAGGGGCGGCGCTGCCAGAGGAACATCAACGAGTGCCTCAGCAACCCGTGTCGGAACGGAGGGCAGTGCGTGGACGGCGACAACAGCTACACCTGCCGCTGCCCGCTCGGATTCACCGGACGCAACTGCGAGGTGGGTGGGACTGGGTATTTTACAACCATTAATTTTAGCAAAGTCTCAGTCTAAAGCCACACCAATTTAATTTGTTGGTTCTCAGATTTTTTTTCAGAAAAATGATATGAAGCAACAGGGCAAAAAAGGTAATAGAAACAGGCCTAGGCATCCTATGACCAGGTTGGATTGTAATTATATGTAAATTACGGGAATGAATTTCAAAGTTTTAATCAAGGCACTGCATTGATAGATGGAAAGACTGTAACAACTATGAAGAGAAGGGACTTCCTTCAACTGTTGGGGCCAAAATATGAGCATTTCGGAAATGTTTTTTCTGCCCAAATCCGTGAACCAACAATTCAATTATTTTGGCCTAATCGTTGGCCACTTTTCTGTCTGGGGTCACCTTTTGTACCAAATTGTACTCTACTTGGGTAATCTTTGAACTGTTATAATTACTGTTTATTGAAGTCCAGTAATGAGTACTTCTACAGCAAGCATAATTGACCAGCTCTTCTTTATGTAGACTGCAACACACTTCAGACCAGTGAGCATTTGACAAATTGATTGACATAATGCAATGACAGTAGAAAGTCTCCTTGAATTAACGACAGGGTATAATTTGATAAAAGGGACATGAACTCAAAACTCACGTCATACACAAACGCAATTTCTAGTTGGGCAACAATAAACAGCAAGATTTTGCTGTCGTTGTTTGTACTGGTTTTACAAAGTCAATCTTTAGTCTATGTTTGAATGTAGTAAGATGAATCTATCCTATTCCATAGCGTCCTATCCAAAATAACAGTCGCTGACGGAGCAGGGTTGCTTGTTTGTATCGTAGGCTGGTTCTAGCTATTTAGGGGCGGTACCTAAGAAATAAGGCGGTAGCTGAGTTTTAGGCTATTTTGAATGCTTTGAGTATGAGATAATGATGAAGTGTGCTAAGAAATGGCAGTAAATGTCAATATCAAGGGTTGAAGTCAGTGGGTTTTTTTTAAAAGCATGGTGCAAAGGTTTAGTGTTTGGCAGAACAAGAAACAAGAATGAAAGTGACCACTTCATCTATTCTGTTTTTGTGTGATGCTGATTTTTTTGGTGTGCGTCCCAGGATTACCTACAAGAAAAGTGACCAGGTATCAGGAAACGATAGTTGCCAGTGGTGGTCTATTAGAGTTTAACAGGCTGCTACTGTCCCCTGAGTGTAGTGGGTGGGTGTGTGGACTGTGTGCTGCTGCAAGCACAGTTGAGAGTGTGTCTGTTGTCAGCAGCGGTCTGGAATTTGACATGCTTGACCTGGTATCAGCTCCAGCAATCGGCTGTAACCTTGGAAACAAGTCTGGACAAATCCTCCAGACATGGAGGCACTTCTGCGCAAATCGATGGATGGAGGGTACTCGTGTGCTCAGGCCACGGTTCGGACAAATACTTTTGTCAATTTTTACTTAGCCCGGCGGCAGCCAAGTGTCAGCGGCACTTGGGATCACCCCCGTACCGCACATCACCTGTTGTCCTGTCCATGCCCGGCGAGATGCGGCCAATCGTGCAGAATTGCTGACTAACCTCGTTACTCGTGTCCTGGCATCAGTACAGGGGGAGTGTAATGGACTTGATGATGAAGGAGGAAAGAGCAAGTCACTTTGGTCCAGATCCCTCCTTCAACACAAAGTGCCCATTTGTGTATCCCCCATATGCCCAGCCTCTCGAGGCTCCTTTGGCAGCAAGTTTGCTGCCACAAGAGGCTGTGGTTGCATTCATCACATACCAATGAGGCAAATTTGATGAGAAGGAAATGGGACTTAAAAGGTCCTCAAGATGCCTAACTTCTTTGCCAACTGTAAACATTAGCCTCCAAGAGGTTGCAGCCCTGGCTTGCAGCCACCCTGTGGTACCACATCTTAGGGAGGATTTTAAGCGAGCTTACTTTTCCTCGCAGGTAAAGTGTACCGACTTTCTCACAGTGGCTTAAAGCGAGCGGCACTTACCCAGTGTTTGTAATGGCCGACAATCCTCCAAAGAGGTGTTTGTCTCCAGTGTTGTGATTTGTGCACCATGGGTGCTTGGCTCAGGCCTCCTTGGTTGACTGAAACTGATTGCTATTTGATATACTGGAATTGGCTTAAGATTCAGGAGTCCAAGTCTGGCAAAATCAATTAGCAATGGTGATAAATCAGGAAACCATTGAACACAATGGCCTTTTTTGGACTAGGAGAACTGGTGCAGGTGTTGTCTGCTTCCATTTATCTCTCAGTAAAGCTTTCTTTTGAGGTTGTAGAACCTGTTCTTTTGAGGGTAACAGCTGATTTGCTTCTGTTTTGTTTTGATTTTGGACCAAAGTCAAAGAAAGGAACAATGTATCTGATGGCAGTGTTGATATAACTTTGATGTAGCTTAAGTGCGTCGTCATCTTGTCTGTATTTCTAAACTTCTATCTTAATAAAAAAGGAGTGAAGGAAAGGAAAAGAGTGGTTGAAAGAAAAAAAGAGAGATGGAAAAATTTTGTTTCTTTTGTATTGTGTAATATATTATGTACTGGCAAATGCACCCTTCAGCACACAAGCTGATGCTGTTCTGCCAAAGTTTGTACATTTGGACATGTACAGGAGCCACAGTGTGGTAAGCCTGGGTGTTTTTCTGCAGCAGACAACATGTGAAATAGATTTTTGTGTCACTTTCCCTGAGTCCCTCTGTGTATTACTCATAGAAAGTTTCTCAACTGGGATTTGTGAAGTCATTGTTCATTTACCATCATCGTGGGACGTGTTCATCTCTAGGGAACTGTCATGAAAATGGACATTCTTGTCCCCCTTTTTTTTTCAACCTTTATTTTACCTTGAAAATGTACAGTACATTGTGTAGCAGTACAACTCTTCAGCCTAAGCCGTTTTTAAAGAGGTCAAGGGGAGGTAGGTCAGGGGTCTTTGCAAATTCTTCAGTTCTCCCTTATATCCTTCCGTGATAAACGCAAACCATCATAATACGAAGGCCCATTGAAAAACTGAAATCCGTTCTAAGAAATGTGCTGTGTTATGATTTGATGAAATATTAATGTGCATACAAGCCTTGGCTTACACAGCAAGGTCCAGTTGTTCATTTCCGTGTAGTGGAGGTCTGTGCATGGCCAGAGCACCAACCTCCTTGATAGATAACATGTGCCACTAGGATATATACAATTATTAGACACATATTAATACTAACGTAAAGATACCTAGAATTGATATTGATACAGCATCAAGATTGAAACTGTTACAGAATCAAGAAGAGCAAAATCTGTTACCATCACTAAAATAAAACATCGAGGAAATGTCAAAATCATTGTGAGATAGTTGACTAGCCTGGGTGCCCTGTTTTGTAACGGGGCTCCTTGTACTTGCTAATCCCACAAAAAGTTTTTTCTACATTTTATGTAGGTACATGTATTTTTTCCAGGTAGAAAGTGAATGACTTCCAGGCTAACCAATATTAGCTACATGTAGCTCACTATGATTTGGACAGTTCCGTTGTTATTTTTTTAATGATGGCAACAGACTTATTTGCTCTTGTTGTGTCACAATGTCTAGTTTTGACATTGTAGCAAAAACTCTGGACGGTTGTCCATTTTTGGAAGAGTTGCCTTGACAAACATATCTAATACTCCCTAACCCACCCACAACTGTGTGATCAATGGAAGTATGCAGACGTCTGGGCACCGAGTCGCTCTGACCTATCATGGCTGAACTTACATTTCTCCCATACACAGCCTCACTTTGATATGAAATCTGTCCATCTCTGTACAGATTGACGTGGACTTCTGCAACCCCAACCCCTGCCAGAACGACGCGCAGTGCTACAACCTGCAAACCGACTACTTCTGCCAGTGTCGCGACGGCTTCGAGGGCAAGAACTGCACACACCTGGAGGACCACTGTAGAAACGGAGCCTGCGAAGGTAAACCTACAGTACATGCACCCAGTCACACAGGACCTGAACCGGACACCCCTGTTTGTTCCCGATATAGCACATAGTTTGGTTAGGAATTATTTTTGTTGTGGGATGGGAGCTTGCGAGGGTGTGTCATGTTAGACAGGGGCTCACCCTGGGGAAATGAAACAGGATCTTTAGCCTGTGGAAAGCTTGAAGCTCAAGCATGGCATGCATGCTGTAGGCAGCGGAGGAATGGGAAATTAAATGTGATACTAGCCTGGCCACTATCTAATCCATAGTTACCTCAAAGGAACTATTCCAGCACTCTGAACCCCCTGAACCTTGTGGCGAATACATAACTAGCTTCCTTTTATTGAATAGTTGTTAAATATGATCTCTCCTTGACATTAACAGTGTGTGTGTGTGTGTGCAATTTAACATGGCTGGATAAAAATGAAGTTTTGAGGCTGCGTATGTTGAAGAAGTGGCTGTTGGCAATGTTTCAGTGATAGACAGCTGCACGGTGGCTGTCGCCTCCAACACGTCCAGTGATGGGGTGATGATCATTTCCTCTAACGTCTGCGGAGACCACGGCAATTGTATCAGCCAGCCTGACGGAGACTTCACCTGTGCATGCAACAGGGGTTACACGGGAACTTTCTGTCAAGAAAGTAAGCTATTGTTAACAGGCATGACCTGTAATATGCACTTACCCAATCTCATGTCCAATGTCACCCCCCCACCCACCAGACATGAGAAGTCTCAGGCACCAGCTGCAATCAGGCAAATGAATCTGGCTACTTGCAGCTGTCCCCCAGCGCCCCCCCCCCTCGTGTTGTTTGCTGCAAATATGCAGACCGCAGAAGTGGTCTAGATGGCAAGGGTTGTACACAAGTTCTGCCTGATCAACGATAAAGTATGCCAACTCTGTCACTATCAGGGGCAGGCCTTTTCTGTACAAATTCCACAGATTCCTCACCGCTGATATTACTTGGAGATATCTTGGCCTGAGTTGGCCTCCTTGCCTGCAAGAGGCAGGAATATTAAACCGTATACGAGTTACCATGACTCGGTCAACATGCTAAAAAAAAAATGCAGCTCCTTCTTTACAAATGAGGCATTAGCAGTTTTGTTGGTAGAACGTACTGCACCTGAGCGTAACCTGGATTTTTCACGGTTTTCATTGGACGTTTGGTCAACGTTGCATCAGAATTTTGCCCATTGTAGACAATGTCTATACCGGCACAACATTTTGAAAGCTATGGCCAGGATCTTATCCTTAAATAGGTGAAAATGACCTTAAACGAGACGTTCTGCAGAAGTGCTGTGCACAATACATTACAGGTTACTAGTAATCTCACACAGGTGCAGTACGATCTGCCAACTGCTGGAGACATGCACCTGTGATAACTCTTACGTCGATGAAGGTTAGACATCCAGGACAATACGATACGCCAAAAAGCAGTTACTCAAGCAACTGGATATGATTTTGGAAACGTCAGACGTTTCAGCTAGTGTCCACTAGCTTTCGTCAGTTGTGATAACTCTTGTTTACTTTACAACGAAAAGTTCTGCTCGCTCTCACGTCAACACACCTCAAAACTCCCTACAAAATCTCTAAAGAGCAAGGCTAAAAATAGTAAGCAGGATGTTTTGATGCTGGGGGCTGTCTGATAAGCTAGGAAACTATCAGGATAAGATTTCTCTTCATTGATGTTCAATGTAATTTCCTTAAAAGCCATCCGTTGAATGTATTATATTTTGATGAGGAGTTTTTAAAACCAAATTTCTTATTGCAGTTACTGTATTAATATGCGTTCATGTAGGATATAGTGCACATTTTACAGTTTTTGGCATTGGGAAAAGAGAAGTAATAGTGCCCGTTTCTGTTTAACCAGGCTAAGTCATAAAATTGGTATTTTTATGGTATGTTTATATTGAGGAACAGCATGATGCCTGGGATCTATGGCAGGCTAAGGTCTGTCCTCCCTTCTAACCCTGTCATACACCACTGGTATGTAGCATGCCCGTAGCCAGCTACAAGCCCACAAGGCTCAAAGGTCCACTTTTTGGTCCACTTTTTATGTAAAGGTCCACTTTTGGTCCACTTTTTATGTAAAGGTCCAAGATTTTTCTTGAAATGATGGACTGGAATCGTAGAAAAACTGCTCCCTTTGTTATTGAATAAAAATTTATCTCTTTTTTCTTGGAAATCCTCTCAAAAATGAACGAAATGCCATTTTAGAAGGTTCATTTTTCAAAATTTTCCGCGGGAGCATGCCCTCGGACCCCCCCCTATGGCGCTCGAGGTCCCCTCCAGCAGTGGGAAGAACCCCCCCCCCATTCAAAATCCTGGCTACGGGCAGGTGTAGGAATCAGAGAAGGAGGGCGACAAGTTCATGTTCAAAACAATGTACGAAAAACATTGCAAAAAGATGTTTTTGAAGCAATACAAATTTATAGTGGACATGAAAGCCGGGCAATTCTTACCCGCTAGGTTCATGTTTGGTAACACGCGGGGAATTCCTTATTTGGTTTGCGTGGGGCTCCTCCCGAACTCCTGGAAACTGACCAATCAGAGCCCAAAAATTCCATGTACTTTCAAGTTGGAAACTTTCTCAAAACAGCTTAATTCTTTTGCGCCCCACCTTGGGAGTTAAACACGGGCGGTAGATCGAAATTTCAAATTTGTATTGATCCCATGCCAACATGCCAGAGGGATAGGCATAAATTTCTTTTTGTGATACGAAATTTTTTGGGAAATATCTTTAAAAATCGTTTCAACATTACCACGTGGTACATAATATAAAGTGCTACTGATACTGGTTCTGTAGGGCATATGCTACTGCCGAGTACAATGAAAAATCCCTTATGTGGTGCATGGATGGGTAGAATGGCCAGTGTGCTGACTACATTTTGTATCCCCACCGTTAGACATCAATGACTGTGCTGTGAACAGATGTCTGAATGGAGCGACCTGTGTGGACGGCATCAACTCCTTCCAGTGTGTCTGTGCAGAGGGCTGGGAGGGCATACTGTGCAACCAGAGTGAGTAAATAACCTACGCATTGTTACCTCCCTGTATCATCTATGCATAGGGGTGGGTACCTGTATAGAAAATTCAGGTCTGGATCAAGTTCAGAGAATCAGGTCCAGGTCCGAACCTACATGAGTTCCTGGACCTGATTATTATACAGTAGCACTATATCATATTCTGGAGCGCAAAACATGAATACAGGTCACTCACTACTGTGTTAAATATTATGTTCAAGTTGTACAATGTATATTGAAGCTAAACACAGTTACAGAAAGAGACAAACATGGATTTAGGCCAATCTAGTTTGATTCAGGGTTATTTTCTTTACCTGCCATGTCCAGATTGTCCAAAGATGTGTGTACAATCTACAGAAATGTACATCAGGTCCAATGATTCGGTTTTCGCGTTTCGTTTTTGGGCTCGGTTCCCGAATGTTGTTTCGATTTAAACTGGTCCGGCTAAACCGGTACCCACCCTTATCTATGGAAGTTTCTTTTTTTGGTGCATCTGTGTGTTTGCTCGTGTTTCCATAGAATCTGATATGTCCACATGCTAGGCATGTGGAGGACACTGACAGGAAGTTAGGTCAAAGGTCCCAGAAAAGGTTATCTCATTTCCTTCTATATGCATGTCTGTTGACTTTTAGGGCCAGTGGGGAAAATCAAGAATTTGACAGTAATATATAAGACAAGAAATTCTCAAAAAGTAATGGACATACAAATACATGTATGACATCCTCAATTTCTTGTTTTCTAGTTCCTCTACCAGTGTTGTCAACTCAACAAATGAGTCTGTGTAATGTCTGCTGAATAATGATACACATCTGAGGTTATGTTTATTAAACACAATCAGCCATTAGGCTGATTCTTGCAATGTTGTTGTTTTCATCCCGACTCAAAGTAACTGCTCATTATTAATTCAAACCCCATTGTTTAATATTTTAGGAGGGTGAGAATGCTTGTTTGTGATTTTAGGATTATTGGGCTTAGGCAAACTCATTTAGCCAAATCCCCCCATTTGTAATTCGTCATTGACACTGGTCCACCATTGAATTTCTCATGTTTATGTGATTTTATTGGATTTGTAATGCCAGGTAAAATTTCAAGTGCACCCAAACACAAACAGAATAACAGTTTGGACAGGGAAATTGGTTCTGTCTCTTATTGCATTACGTGGTGGTAGGTAAAGAGATTAAAGTGGCCGTGCCTAAAGCGCCATTCCGGCTTGTTTGAAGTATGTGCGCAGGCTTGTTGTCGTCACTCAGTCATAGGATCATAAGGTTACACCACAAACACAATTCCAGGATGTAGAGTACATGGGAAAATGGAGACCTTTAGCTCTCAAGGTTCGTTGTCAAATAGGAAGGCAGTTGTTCCCAAAGCAATGCCATCAAGGGGCACATCAGTGGCTCCCTGTCACATGCATCGCTGGCAGACCAGCCCCCCAACTCTGCCAACAAACTCTACTACCCACCCACCCTTCCTGGTGGGCCCCGCATGCCCTTTTCCTTAGAGCGTAATCGGGCGTTTTAATTCTACCTACATGTAGAGCATAGACGAACCGCTCTTATTCATCGTAGAGTGTAATTGGCGCGTTTTGCATAGACCGTAATTCACTGTTTTGATTCTACATAATGCGTTGCAGCTACCCGGAATTTATCGTAAAATGTAATGAGGATGCTTCCCAAATTCAGCGTAATACATGTACCTAGCCGGCTCTCAAAATTTAGTGAAGAGCGTAGTCAGAACCCCCCATGCAGGCCCTCTTCCTGGTCTGCATCCTCTCTGTGTTAGTCACAGGACGTGGAAAATCCATTTAGCCCTGGCACGACGTGTAGAATAAATTCTACTTTGTGTGGGTAAATTGGAGGTGAGAGTGACGCTTTCAACATTGACTGTGGCAGGTGGCAGACTGTACACTGTAAATCACAGATTAACTGTGCAGGAGCAAAAAAAATTCCCCTTTTAACTTGATTATTGTCCAGTTAAATTATTAATTTTCCATCAGATCACCAAAGTGATGGTAGGTGACAGCCATTTGTCCTCAATTGTGCCAAGAGGAACGTGTGGTATAAAGGCAGCTAATGGAGCGAATTGGCCGTAACAAGTAAAATCAGTCAGCCTTTGTTATGGCGAATTAAAAATTGATGTATTTTATTTTTGCCCTGCAGATAAGAATGAGTGTTCTCCGAATCCCTGTCGGAACAATGGGACGTGTGTCGACCACGTTGCCGACTTCTCATGCCACTGTAAGAGCCCGTGGAAAGGAAGGACGTGTAACAACCGTAAGTGTAACTCTTGTCACTCTTCGTGTAGGTCATAAGGTTGTGTTTTAAATGCAATGTTGACATGCGTTATAACTACGTGCGTGATTCAAAAAGGCGAAGGACCCACCACTCGTGCTAATGGATTTCACCTCTAGGAACTGCCAAGGCGAAAGGCCGGAGAGCCTTCTAGTTGGCATGCTCCTGCCCATCTCTTTGCTCAAGGGAAGGCACGGGTCTCTGGTTTCTTGGCAACAGAATGCTTCTATTTCTGTAGGCAGCAGGCAATACCAGCGTGCGCCCCTGGTGTAATGAAGAATGTTTCAGCCCCGGCTAAACCTGACCTCCAGTATCAGAGCAGTTGCCCTCGTGATCCTTCGGCTACCTACTTATACTGCCAAACCCTCCACAGAGATTATTTCTGAGGCTGCAAACTCTTACCAAATGTCACCATCACTCTATAGTTTTTACTAGTAATTACTGATTGATTGCTATATGCTATGTGTTTTTTTGCAGTGCACAGTCACTGTGATGGCATGACCTGTGCCCACGGTGGGACCTGTATCGACCTTGGAGACACCTTCACCTGTCTCTGCTCGCCAGGTTGGGAGGGCTTCACCTGCCACATAGGTAAGGTCATCCTGAAATCCACTCCTCAACACCCTCTCAAGAAAACTTAATATAAACGAAAGTTTATTGCAAATACTTGCCCGAGGGCTAATTGCAGTTACAAACAACATAGAAATAAAATACAGTGATATGTGAGACTATATCTACTTCTAACATTATACTATATTCTACAACATGACATGACACTAGTTTTGCTGGGTTTGACTTCTTCTTCTATAATATGTGGGTTCTTTGATTTTAGTAGTAAAATTGTTTTTTTTGTGGTAAGGAATGGTGGGGAAGTAAGGCAGCATTTTGGACACGGTGGTAAATAATTGATATAAAAGATATTATTTCCCCAAGAAGAGAGAACGTCTAGCAGTTACTGGAAGTTATCATTTTATGTTGCCCTTCACCTCTGGAACCCAAGCCCCCCCTGAGTGGTTAACCAGCTGTCATGCCCTAATCCCCCTGTTTACTCAGTTTCCCCTGTCTGCTCTCCCCACAACACACCATGGACAATCAATGAGGAAGCCTCTTCCCTTATCTGATCAGGTGTGCCTAATCAGGGCACTGAAAATCTGGATTTACACAAACTCCAAGACCCAGCGTGGTTTAACCCCGAAAACGCTGCCTGCACTCACACATGAGTCTGTGTTGGGTCTCCCTGTGATCCTGAATGCATTACTGGGCATTAGCACGGCCTTGTCTATATTAGAAACTCGAGATAAAACCTCCAGCAAATTGGGAAATGCCCCGCCAAGCAGGAAGGCTTAGCCGGAGAAACAGAGTCGGAAAGGCTTAAGTTTGTAGATATTAGGGGGGGGAGTCTTAGCGTTTTTCTGGGTGGGAAAGTTTCAAGCTGTTTATTGTGTTACTTACAGCCAAGAATCACAGCTGTGCGTCCAACCCTTGTCAGAATGGGGCCACATGCATCAACAGTGGAGATAGTTTCACCTGCATGTGCAGAGAAGGGTTTGAGGGGCCACAATGCCAAGACAGTAAGTCTAGGAGCTATTTACTCATCACAAGTACAAACTGTAACTTTTTACATGGTTCTATTGAACTTGACAAGTGTTCAGGGTTCGAAATACATGTACTCACTCACACAGTGTGTGAGACTTTTGGAGCCTGGCAAGAAAGATACGGCTTCTGCATGTGAGCCATCATATATACATGTACCTTTACATGTGGCTTGGCTTATGGCCTGGCTTCTAAAAAAATGGTGTTGACGGCAACCTGAAATATTGATGGACAACCTAGATTTGGCTTACAAATGTAGGTTGCATAGTAGGCAACCTGAAAAAAAAAAGGATTTTGAACCCTGAGTATTTTTTCGAACCCTGAGTATTTTTCGAGTCCTTCACTATGTATTGTGTATCACCGGGACATGCCCAAATATGGAACTGACATATATTATATGTTAGATATGGATGTCTCATCCCTTGTTTTATGTGTTCTCATTTTTCACAAGATAATCAGTCAACATGATTAATCTTGAAGATAATGAAGAGGAAAAAAATGAATAGCTTCATATTAAGCTTTATGAGTCCCATGTGAAGACACTGAACAAATTTTCATTTTCTCAATCTCTTGTGTTTTTATTTTATTACTTTGTTGTGTATCTCAACTGTAGTAATGATGTGTACATCCCTCGTATAACTTGCTCGTCTCTTTTTTTTTCAGACGTGAATGATTGCAACCCACACCCCTGGTAAGTTGTTACTGTTTTTCCTTTGTTGACTTTTATGGTGCACAATAAAGGTGTAGCTTTGCTGTTGATTGAACAGTTTTATGGAATCTGACCCCTGCACTGGTAATTTACTATGCATGATGCACCATAAATGGTATGATACATTACATCTTAAATGACCAATTTTGTACTGGCGGGCAATGTTTGTCCAATAGATCCCCACTGACCAGTCTTAAATCTTCTTTCCAGTTATAACGGTGGAAGGTGCGTGGATGGAGTCAACTGGTACAGATGTGAGTGTGCAGAGGGATTCGTCGGACCGGACTGCAGAATAAGTAAGCCCAAACATCCAGCGGATAAAAACTTTATAAACCTCGTCCTGATTACCAATTTTACTATCTCGAAATGCGGTACCAAATTATCATTTCAATTTCTCCAAACTGCATCACAAAGGAGTGAATTGAATTGCCGTATGATTCAATTATCATCAGCCCTCACAGATTAGAAATAAAGCTTTGCGTGTCACTCTTATTAATTGCAGATATCAATGACTGTGCGTCCCACCCCTGTGCCTATGGCAGTACCTGCCTGGACGGCATTAATGACTACACCTGCAAATGTCCCGCCGGCAGAACGGGAAGACACTGTGAGCTGGGTAAGTCTGGGTCAGGTACAACATAGGCATCAAACACACCACACAACACCAAATATTCTGTCAGGTACAACACAGGCATCAAACACACGGCACAACACCAAATATTCAGTCAGGTACAACACAGGCATCAAACACACCACACAACACCAAATATTCAGTCAGGTACAACACAGGCATCAAACACACCACACAACACCAAATATTCTGTCAGGTACAACACAGGCATCAAACACACCACACAACACCAAATATTCTGTCAGGTACAACACAGGCATCAAACACACCACACAACACCAAATATTCTGTCACCTCTCAAGGCTGGCATTCCACTGCAAATACATGACATTGTGACTGACATCAAGGCTCAGGGATGAAATAGTGAAGAACTGTTGGATTCCTAGTCAAGTGTCTTCAAGTTTCACAGCAAAAACAGGTCAAAAATTGTTCTGAAATCCCTGCTACTGTGGGAAGAAAGCTAACTCTTGTAGATGCTAATTTCTCAATTGTAAGAACGATAGACCCAGTACACATTGTCGCCTGCAATGTCCCCAAGCCCACCAGCTCCCAACACATGCAAATGAGCCATCATGTACTTAGTCATCTCAATTTGGAAGTTTGGATTTTGTGGTATTTTGTTTTCACACAGATACGCTCCTCCCAATATGCCAGCTATTTTTTCCATCCAGACAGAAAATGATTTTTCCAGATGAGTACATGTGAAGACGCATGTAGTCTGTTTTCTCTGGCCTGGCCTGTGATATATTTAGGTGCAGCCATGTTTTTCACGAGGCTAGGCGCAGGGGTTGATGATCCGTTGTTTTGTCTAGTTCTAGGGGACCTCCAGCGCCAGCCGTGCTGGGGAAGTGGCGGGCTGTTTGCACACGGGACGAAGTGGGAGGACGAGTGCAACACCTGTTCCTGCAGGAATGGAGAGGTGGTCTGCAGCCAGGTACGCAGAACCTCTCTCACGCAACAAGCACACCACAAACCCGCGTCCTTGGCACGCCCGCTAAAAGCCCTTTCAACTTCCCACAACTTTGAAGCCCTGAAGAGAAAGGCTGCGATTATGTCTGTGACACTGTGACAGACGCCCTTGAGATACCGTGGAACACTTGGCAGGCTTCCACGCCGCCTATTGACTGTGTTTTTACCACCCATCTGTCACTGTTTTTGTTTAGAAGTACGTGTTTATCCAACCACGCCAGCTGCCACAGTCACGGGCAAATCGCTAAGATAGCTTATCACATAATTCTGGTCTTCCCGGATTATAATCTACTTGATAGGATTAAGAACATTTTATAGCAGTGTCACATCTGATGGCTCCATATGTGGTATAATAGCAAGGGTTTGTTTGCTTATTTGATGGTAATTTGGATAATCCTATGTGTGTCATAATGTTATAAGCGGTGGAGGTAATCAGGTTTGTGTCTGTGCCTGGATAGATCTGGTGTGGTCCCGAGGTGTGTTTTGCGGGAGATGGGAACTCCATGGAGTGTCCACCAGGACAGTACTGCATGGTGCCGACGGAGGAGTCCTGCTTCACCCCGCCGTGTGGACGGTGGGGTCACTGCCGCGCCCCCGGCCGAGACCTGCCCGCCGGACCGGTCAGCAAAACCACCACCTGCCTGCCCAACACCACCGAACTGGACAACAACTGTGCCAAGATTACCCTCATGTTCGACAAAACTAGAATGTCCACAGTAAGTATTCTACTCTTGCCTCCAAAACTTTAAAAAAAAAAGTTTTGGCTGGCTGGATCCTTGCCAGAAAAGTCACAGATTTAACAGTTTGTAGAATAAATTTTGCCGAGGCAATAATTGGCAATGACACATACAATAGCAGCATGCACCAGCTCCATGCCTGACAAACATGCACACAGGGAGGCACACTGACACTGTGACAGATGGCAAAGAGGTGGCTTAATTTATTCCTGCAGGGATGACAATGTCATTTGAGCGACGCTTTAAAATGAAGCCTATGTCCACAGAGACCACAAATGGGACCTCATCATAATGCGCATTTATATGTTTTCATCACAGTTAATGTCATACTGCTCTAATTGTTTTAAGCCTTTAGATCAACTATAAATCATTGCCAGTGTAAGTCTGTCATCTCGTGCCGTCCCTAACAGACTGAGTGTATATCACCCCTTTTGTCGTCTAATCAGGAGTTCTTCATCAAGGGAATTTGTTAGGCCGTCTTTCCACTAAACTGTGATAGCTCAGCGATCGTTGAGTGGCAAGAAATGGATTTTTGTGATCCTCGGTTATGAAATCTGAATATGGTGCACTATATAAAAGTATTTATTATGATTTAAAAGACAACAAGGCATATGGAATGTCAAAAAGATTTTTTATCCAGGAAATTTGTTGTGTTTGGTCACTCAAATGGTTTCTCAAGAGGTGCAGCCTCTAGTAGCCTGGCCAACAAGCTATTTTTTTCACACAAAGCAACCTTTATAAAGTTTACATCAACCCAGCTTACAGATTCTGATATACACTGTGGACTACCTCGGCCTGAAGAAGAGTGATACACCTTTAAAGGTGGCACTGCTTATATGGCTTGCCTTCAAAAATAGTCAACAACCTGAAATATTGAGGGGCAGCCTAGCTTTTGGCTTGCTACATGTAAGTGAGCAACCTGACAAAGAAGTATTTTGAACACAAAAAACAAGTAAGTAAGAACACTGTACTGACAATACCCTGTGCATGTACACTGTGCTTTTTTTTTCTAACCTTCCTTTTCTTTTTTCTTTTCCCTGAAGGGTGTTTGTGTGGAAGATATCTGCAATACCCTGCGTCACTTGCCTGTATTGGATGAGCTAGCCTGGGACAAGTCGCTCCTACTTCTGTGTGACACAGTTGAGGACATCAATAACTCAATAGCTGTTGCAGTGGTAAGTCTACCTGTATGTAACATAGACAAAGAAAAAACTATTTCCCAAAACCCCTTAGACATAGTTTTAGACATAGCTACAGCTCAAGACAACTACCTTTTATCATGTAGATTTTAGTCATTTTATACTACGTTTCATTGTTCTTTTATGTTGGTAATCTGCAATTAGCCCCCCGGGCATGAATTTGCAATAAACTTCATTATTATCTACATGTGTATAGCCACTGTGGAGCGAGAACTTGTATGTAATATTAAACTGAGAAAAGCAATTGCTTCAAACACAAGACTGTAACAGTGTACTCATATCATTGTTTCATTGGGAAGTGATTATGGTACGTGTACATTGTAAATTTTGAAATATTTGCAATATTCACTGCAAATTCATGGCACCATGAATATGAGTTTCCAATGTATATGTATATACATGTACCACAAGGTTTCAACTGCAAACTTGAGTAAAACACTGTGGAAACCTCCTTTCTACCACAAAATAAAACTCCCAGTGAAAATAAATGAGTCTACAGTAGGTCCTAGACCCAAGAGTCAATGGCATTTCTGCTAATCCTCTTAAACTGAGACCCTTACTCTTGTGGGGAGACATCTCGCACCAGAGGGAACCAGTGCAGGTCTCCCTGCTGCCTGGTGCTGTGTTACAATGTGCCAGGGACTGGTGATTGAACATGTTGTCTGTCATTCTGTCTGCCCAGTCCACCGAGGACGCGTCGGGAGGCCGAGACAACGTGGTCCGCGAGGTCGTCAACGCGATAGCCGACTACATCAGCAAAAAGCAGAGCAACAGCTCCATCCTAGCAGCCATCGTTGAGGTGAAGGTAGAAACCACCATCATCAATTACAAAGGTGAGAAAAATTGCCATCATGGTATTATTCAGGTTGTCTTCTGTCCATTTTGATGGACCGATTGAGTAGGTTTTGGTATGATGAAAAATTATAATCCATTATGAGGAGGAAAACAGATTAAGTATGGAAGTAAATTATGGTAAGCTTCATGAATAATGAATTAATCCACTGTTGATGTAACATGTCCTTACTGGGCTGTCCTTTAAAACCCTTGTCCTGCGGAGCCCAACAATTGTTGTTTTGCACATACAGTACTCTATATATATCATTCTGTATAGGTACGATTTGGGGGTATTTCTCATACAACGCATCACACCGCAGCGAAACGCAACGAATGCGGAAGTAACTATGCCACCGCAGAGCAAAAAAGTTGGGGGTCTATGACCTAATTAAGACACGAAATTATTGAAAAATATTGTGTAAAAAAAGCCAGCAGGACAAGGGTTAACACTTTCTATTGTTAAGGTGGCAGATTGTTTTTCTCGTGGTTGTTTTTCTGTAGGCACACCAGACTGCCTGATTACATTTTCAGCTCATCCATAAACACGCGGCAGCTGACACGTGTTGTTTTTTTCTCTCTCTCGTTTTCTACCAGACACATTAATGGTTCCGTTGATCTGCGCGGTCGTCGGCTCGGTCCTTCTCATCAGCATCGTTGTCGTCCTGATCTGGTGTCTCGGCCGGCGGAGAAAGCGGCGGCCGCCCAATCCCGACCACCGAATAAACCTGGAGAACAAGACAAACAATAAACAGGAGGATGTGAGCGTCCAGCGCTACAGAAATCCCATCTACCAACCAATAGACAAGGGCACACATTCGAGAAATTCATTAGACTCAGTCGACAACCAACACAGAGAAAAAGTTTCACATAAAAACCAAAGAGTACTTTACAAAAGAGACTCTTATAGAGATAGAGGAAAGCATAATTTAGACAAGCGAAAAAATATAAAAGACATAAATACAAGAAGTTCACAAAGTGTTGCCAGCATTGAACTGATAGTATAGCCCCCGTGGCACTATGTGTAAGTATTATAAAGTTATTGTGTAGACATTTAGTTTGCAGAAGTTATGTTAATTTTTCGAGTGTAATATATTGTGAGCATCTCCATATGTGTGATCTTTATGAGACAATTCTGATATAGAGTTTTCTTATGCAGTATTGGAGTCAGTGCTTTTGTATGTTTTGTTGAGATTGTGTACAAAGTCAGATTTAGAGTGAAAGCAGATGTTAGAGTCGTCACCAAGATCGTTGGTTATTTCAAAGCAAAGCTATGTCCCAGTCACCTTCCTGTGAGTAAATGTGTATGTCTGAAAACGGACACTTAAAAATGACACTGCCGAGCCTCTCCTAAACACATCATGTTAACAAAAGAGATCTCTCTGGGTTATTAAGAAAACAGACAAGCCTCCCCAAATTTACAATCCTGCAGTTGACAGTCATCTTAAAAGCCCCGAGGGACCATCGAGATACGCAATTCAACCTTTTCTATGCACAACCATCTATAGTATACCTTTTACAAATTATCACTTGAAGAAGGACCCATCCTATCTTTTTTATATTCCGGTTGTGATTGGATGCCAACTTTTGGTGTGAAGGAACAGTTTCTACTCTTTCTAGTTGCGTAGTGATAGTACAGCTTTCCTCTGTACAACCAGCAACTATGCACTGCTATGCAAGGAAAAGAAATAGCCTCGTACAGTACTTACCTACTGGCTGATAATTTCAGCAAATTTCTCAGCGCAGCTATTACTATTAGGATATACAGCAACAAAAAAGGAAGGCTCCCACTTCTCTCAGTCACATGATGTTGTTGCACTGCAAGACTGGGCCACTCATGCAGAGAACATTCGGTGCACACAGTACGGTTCCCCCAGTTCTCAGAACGTGGACGGACGTGCTGATTTTAGAGACTTGAAAGCAGGAAGAAAATTGTAGTTGAAGTAAAATGTTCTGCCAAGCTGTGTAGGGAGGGTATGGTAGTAAGTTTTTGGGTATCCTAAGGGCTAATTATCGTAGGGGGAAAAAGTTGAAGAAATTGGGATCTCATGCCCGTAGCCAGGGGGGGTTCGGGGGGTTCGGAAGAACCCCCCCCCCCCACAAGGCTCAAAGGTCCACTTTTTGGTCGACTTTTTATGTAAAGGTCCACTTTTTGGTCCACTTTTTTATGTAAAGGCCCACTTTTTGGTCCACTTTTTATGTAAAGGTCCAAGATTTTTCTTGACAAGATGGACTGGAATCGCAGAAAAACTACTCCCTTTGTCATTGAATAAAAATTTATCTCTGATTTTTTCTTGGAAATCCTCTCAAAAATGCACGAAATGCCATTTTAGAAGGTTCATTTTTCAAAATTTTCCGGGGGAGCATGCCTCCGGACCCCCCTAGGAACCTCGCGCCTACGGCGCTCCCCTCAAGCAGTGGGAAGTACCCCCCCCATTCAAAATCCTGGCTACGGGCATGGATCTTATGATCCCTGCATGATAGAGCATGGACCAGGACTGCAATGCATCATTATGGAAGTTCAGACTGCAAAGCTCATGGTATGTACTACAACAGACAGCCTGTATGTAGCAGGATGGCTACTGGACAAGAGAGGGAAAATCTTATAGATATCAACTATCTATGATACTTGATACAGATCTTGTACATATGTAAATATTTAATTAATATTCATGTATATTTGATTAATTTAAAAGAAGTAATCAAGAGAGAGAGCTGGACACCATTCCTGTATTTATATGTGAGTTTGTGGATGTTAATAGCTGTTGAGAGCATGCCCCAAGTTATGCGTTATGCAGAAATATTTATCATGGACGTATGCTGTCAGTATTATGGATATCCTGTTGTACAGTGCAGTTACCAAACACAACAAACAATACAAGTTGGTGTAGACCATACCTTAACATTACAACAATAGTGCAAGACCAGTAGTGAAACTAGAAAACATAAGACTTGGATCCTATACTCATATAAAGAAAGAAAAAAACACATTGTACAGGCTTAACAGGGCTAAAAATTTGAGGTAGGAATAAAAGTTTTCACATTGTATTTGCCATTCAGTAATGGCTTTGAGATCATATCAGCATTGGTACGTTTTTCCGTGAGTAGATTTTACAATAGTTCACAGTAAAAATAATGTTTTGAAACCGTGACGATAAAAAAAGATCTTGAATCTTTAGCCCTGTTTCATATTGCCAGGTGAACAGTATAGTGAACAACATAGCTGGGCCACATTATAACAGATCCATCCAAATTGCCTAGTATACAGGATCATAGTTGAGTGTTCTGTGGGAACTTATTTCTTCTAGAAAACAATTCAGTTTGTTTTTTTTTCCTGGCTGTAAATTCCTGCTTTTCTGCAGCTTAAATCTCCCCTGCCTCTGCTGAGATGTGTCCTTTCTAGAGAGGTCTCTCGTTTATTTTTCTACTTCAATGAGGACTTGAATTTCCCCGACACGTCACCTTTTGCAGATACCACACTCTCCAAAGGGCTCCAGAGAACATTGTACTTCTGCTGTAGGCATGCAGATGAGATGTGAACACATGACTGTGAAAAAAAACACAAGAAGTAGCATGTAAATTATGAAAGCTTCTCGGTATTTTCCCTAAGGTACAAGTTTGTATGTGGACTTGCAAGAAGACCTAGGGACATGTTTGAAATAAATATCTATTTAAGATATTTTGTATGAATTCTTGCCTTGTTGGTCTGTTCTTTTTGGGAGCTGTTTTGAGTAAATGGACTGAGACGATTACACTGTCATTAGGCCACACCAATTTAATTTCTTGGTTTAATAACGGATTCGCCCGCTTCATTTTTTCCTGATTTGCAAATAAAAATAAAAATCCAGAATCAACTGCAAAATGCTCATATTTTGCCCTGAACAGTTGAAAACAGTCCTTTTCATCCTAGTTGTTACAGTTATTCCATCTTTCAATGCAATGGTATCATTAAAAGTTCAAAATTCATTGTTTAAATTTTGAACCAGCCTGGTGTGTTGACTTCATGGCTCCTATCGTACCATTTTGGGCCATAATAGGATGCCTATAGGCCTGTTTTTATTTTTATTTTCTTTCGCCCGCCCGCTCCATTATTTTTCTAGAAAAATCGATCCGTTAACCAAGAAATTAAATTGGTGTGGCCTTAGGAAATGATGTAATTTCTGCATCTGGTGTTCCTCAATGCTGCATAATCAATGATTATATGTAATCTCAGGTATAATAGAATTACCTGAAATTGGGTCAAAATGCAGTAACCTCAGGTCATGTAATCTCATGACACACTGCCTTACCAACATATAAATCAGGTCAAATGGTTGGGAAGGATTTTTTTCTTATGTTTGGTTGTTCTCCCTCTAAAATAACCAAATATATGCACCAAGTGAGGGAGCAGAATTACATGTAACGTTACACATTTTAGTAGCAGATTGATGATTTTGGAAAGCATCAAATTTGGTATGTTTAGATAGCATGTAACAGTGTCAAGTTTTATGGTGACATTTGAAAAGAAACCTATTTATTCCAACTTTCATTAAAAAAATATTTTTAATACATGTACTGGTGTAAAAGAGTTGGGATGTAAGAGACTAGTTGTTTAAGAATTCAATCAGAATATAGTTCTAATTCTCTATCTAAATTAAATCACTTTGTTGAAAATCAAATTATGAATCTGCACAGTTCGTGGTTGTAGGGTACTGCACTGAGAGCGGACTAAAAGTTAAAATTTACAAATGGGAACATCTGAGAAGAAACGTGAAGAAAGAGAAAACAGTGGAGGTACTGAATGATCACAGAGTTAGGTATATTTCCGCCTTGTTGCCATCATATGGAGAGCTGGATATCATATAGTGTTAGCCTGACTAAATCTGCGCTCCTAGCGGCCGGCCCGGTATTACACCAGCCGCCCCCAGAGCGCAGATTTAGTCAGGCTAGATATAGTGTTATTCCAGTGTTCCCAACTTCAAGTGATCTAAACTATTATACCACAAAACGTAAGTATGCTGTTCGAGCTAGTTAGTTCGCTCACTTGAGGTAAGAATCGATTCAGTTGTCGGATTCTGAGTAAAGAACGATTTGTAGCAATCTACCTAACTAGTTGATCCACCTTGTGGAAGTTATTTGATATCGCCTAACTATGAATCCATGATGTTCCCATTACAACACAATGGGTCGCGTACACCTTTCTGGGCTCTCAAAACTTTATGAAATACGCGCAAATGTTTATACCGCATTAAAGGAAAATTATGGAGAAAATCAACATCTCTCGAGTATACACAATCTAGATATCCGCAACGCGATTACAAAATTAAGAATTTGTTGGCATAAATTAAACATAGAAATGTAAAAAAACTACCCAATGACCACAGGTTTCATCCATTTTGTCCAAATATGATTGAAAATGAGCGCAATTCTATAATGTATTGTTCACTATACAATGTTTCTCTCAGTGGTTCTCTCACCTGCTTACGTTTCGATGCCTATCGGTCACCTTCCTCATTCTCACTGGAGTACTGTTTCTCGCCGCTCGGTGTAGCCGATCTAGGTGGCGCTTTTGCGACGTGAACACAATACTTGTACATGTACCAACCAAACCATGGAGGTAGAATACCTCCATGACCAAACAAATATGTAGTTGCGTCGCCTTGTGATCAAAGAAGAGGAGGACAAAGAACTAGAGACACCGCATGTCGAGAGGACCTTCACACGCGGCGGCAACAATTCATTATAACTTTCTGCATGCACTCCTTTAAAATTGTATAATGTTAGACTTTTGGACCGTTTTCAGGCCAATAAACTGTATAGTCTGGGTGTATGACGTAATAAGATTGGAATGCGGAGTGTGACCATATTTGGGCATGGGGACAGGCCCAAATATGGGCATGTAGGCAGCAACAGGTGTGGCCATGTGTGCAGATGTTGTTGATTGGCTGTTCGCTTGATTACTTTATCTGCTACCACTTGCGCATGATACGTTGTGGTTGATTTTCTTGGGAACAGAACCTAGATGGACATTAGACGTTATAGAAGACATGATAACCAATCAAGACTGTAAGAAAGGCAACGCAGTTCAATACAACATGCTATTTGAGTCTTAATTCTCTTCACGAGAACTCACTACGGTAAAGGTGACCACTAGATCATGTGTATGATATGTAAAATAGCGTAGATATGTATAAAACAATTTTTATAAGCTTCACAACATTAACATTTTCATTTCATCAGAGTTATCAACCAAGGATTGAGGTGTTCAAGAATTTATTCTTTCCTAGAACTATCACATAGTGGAGCTGTCACCAAGTACAGTAGAGGCATTGTCATTAGATAGCTTTAAACAATGTTTAGAGTTAGATGTTCAAGGGTTAGGTGTAACAAGTCGATCGGTGTAATGTAGCCAGCTGCCGCCGCGCCGTGTGCCTCCGAAGCAGGTGTGTTACGCCGAAGGGCCTCTGCAATACCTTAGAGAGCCACTAGAATGCCCAAATTCGAACTTTTTCCACACTACGAGCTACCTACAAAAATGTTTTTAAAATCCACAACATCAAATGTTATCCCGTCTAGTCACATTCCGTCATCAAAATGACCACAGAAGCTCCAAAAAAGCAGCTATTTTGCTGAAAACCACACCAGATATTTACTCATCATCTATCATTAGTTTAGGTGTAACAAGTCGATCGGTGTAGCTGAAGAGTATGTAGCCGAAGCTGGTGAGTTACGCCGAAAGGCGGTTATACCGGCTATACAGATACAGATCATCACTCAAAAATCAAGACCATAGCATGTGCACAGCACGAGATATCATACTCATGCACCCCGCTGCAGTACCTTACAAAACCACCAGAGTACCCAAAATTGACCTTGACCTTCCTTATCCTACCTACCATATATCATAAAGATACATGCACCACACCCCAAGTTATAACCGATTATAAAATAAGCAATCTACATGTATATATACTGTACCTTGTATTTGAATTGTTTGAAAGTAAAAGTCCTTTAATCGCTTTGGGAGTAGAAAATTAGAAATTTGTATTATGTGAAATTCGAAAATGTCGTAAGAAAGCAAACCTGTATCTGTATACCTCCAGTAAAGACCTCCTATCCTACATTTATCAATGGATCTATCCAGGCTGACTGGCCCCGGGGCAGAGCATTAAGTTTTTTGCATGGGACAAATGTTAAATACGGTAGAAAATTGCTAAACACTAGCCTCTACCAGGCTTCGGGAGGCGGCTGGAAAGAGTAGAAAGTAGAAATCGTCCAGATAGAGAGGTAACATGCCAAGGGACTTGGTCCGCGCTGAGATTACAGTTTGCCTATTACTTTACAAGAGAACGTTATGCCTCGAGAGAGGGTTATACCCGCCACGGAAGCCTACACAGATGGCTGAACAAAATAATCTGCTGTTCGTATCTTGAAATTTCATCTGTGTTGGTAGAAATAATTATGAAGCCAGTTATTAATTTAAACTGTAATTTCCAACACAACAAATTGGACTTACCCAAATTTTCGACTGTACAACTTCAGTCTTTGTCTCCGAAACTCCAACCTTCTGTTCTTGTTTCCATTTTTTAAGTGAACACTTGTGTGTCTTGGAGGAAGAACTTGGCAATGACGTCGACGCACCGTGACGTCACAGTGCTCATCCCGCTGTGTAAGGAGAACCGGGATGAGGAGGAACTGAAGAAGTGCCAAACGGTACACTACAGGTGAGACATTGGGGACAACGTATGCGCATGTCAGGTGCCGCATTCGACTTATGAGAAGTCCTCTTACACTACTCTCCAAGCAGATGTTTGCTTATTTTTGGGCTTTTTACCTCCATGAAAAATGGAGGTATTGTTTTTGGCTTGTCTGTATGTCTGTTTGTGTTTCCGCACATTTGTAGCCAGCATAACTTTTCAACCTTTGGATGGATTGTAATGATATTTGGTATGTAGGTAGGTGTTGGGTAGTCAAAGGTCAAGGTCAATTTTGGGGCCTCCTGGTGGCTGACCTTGGTACTGCAGCAGAATTTCCGTTTTTTTAAAAATCTTTTAGGCCACAGCAATTAAATATTAAGGATGACATCCTCCGCAGACTCCAAATCTAATGCGATAGGGCGAAAACAAAACAAGGCCGGCCCCAAAAATTCCTACATTTTCAAATTTTGACATCATAAACCTTGTCAAGCAAGGAATGGTACCTACTTTGTGCTAAGTTAACTGCCAACTATTTGTTACACCCATTTGTCACTGACACAACTTTGAAAAATAAGTTTTCAATCATTGTACAAATGACTTCCATTCAGTGGGAACATCACATATACACAGCCACCATCACAAATGGAAGAAATAAAATACATCACTGCATCAAAAAAAGTAAAAGACAAAACAAGATATCAGCGCCTTGCCTTTTCTCATCTTTTCATATTTATCTGCCATCCACGTTTCGGCATGGTAACAGACATTTTTGCACATTTTCGGCATGTTGACCACTGTCAGAGGGCAACGAAATTTCTTTTTCCAAAATCAGGCAAAAGGAATTCGCGCGCTGATGTCATCCATGAATGTTACTTGCTGTGGCCTTAGGGGGGAGTTCGAGTTCATTGCGATTGGTTGAAATGCGGGTGTAAACTTACGAAAGATCGCAATAAACACCAACCCTCGGATAGAAGTTCAACAAGATGGCGACAACTTCAAGATCAAGACTGTCTCTGTCAAGACTACGGAGGTCAAGTTTAAGATCGGGGAGGAGTTTGAAGACGACCTGCCAATTGGGAAAGTCAAGATCATTAATTTAATATTCCTTTAAACTACGAGATAATTATAAGTTACGTAAGCTAGAAAGGTAACATTTGTTTACCTTCATATGTTGAAGCCTAACAAACTGTACTACTCTGTTTATTCCTATAAAAACACTTTTCCCCCATTTGCTACATAATGTAATCTAACACCACAGGATGTCTGCTACAGCACCTGGTTACCATGGTGACAGACGTCTGGTCTAGGTCATTGACCTTATTTGTTTGGTGAAGTGAAAACACGCAGACAAACGCACCGAAAGCGGGAGCAACAAAATGCAACAACTGATCAATGGATATTTCAAAAACACATTCACAACCTCGTTCACAAATACATGTATTATATTATCATCTTTCACTAGTTTACTGTATCAAACAGGACGGCCATGTACGAGCTAGAACACGAGTTGCCTAGCAACTAGTGACTCTGCGCCACGCCGCCAGCATGGAAAATTCCTTTTTGAACCAATGAGCGGCCAGTACTTTATCGCTCCTACAAGATGGAAATTCCATCCAAAGCTTGAAGCGTTCGTCGTGCGCGAAGGTCACACCGCCCAGTTTCTCCAAACAGAGTCCCAGGAACACGTCCTCGAGAAACAGGTACTTCAAGGTCAACGACACCTGGTAGAGCAAGCCCGTGATGTCGTTAGAAAGGACGTAAGTGAATCCGCAGGGGTATTTGGGAAACGTGTCCCTGGGATAGTCTTGCCGGCTGAGGTACCACTTGTTCCCGGGAGTGCGGTTCGGCTTCCCTCCGGTGTTGTATATCCAACCCATCACAAATCTCTCTGTCTTGTTTGAACCCAGTCCCCGCAGATCTCTTAGTAAGGTAAAGATATTCACAAACGTGTCGTCGTCAGCTTTCATAAAGAACTTCGCTCCGGGGCAGAATTCTGACGCCCACTTCAGACACATGACGGTCTTTAGATTCAAATTTCTATACGAATCGATGAAGTTCCCCTGGATGATGTCTTGGTGGGCTTGGCTTTCGTGGTCCAGTCCTCTTTGTGTCGTAGCTTTGTCGGTTGTTCCCACTGCGAATAGCGTTCTGATACCAGGTATGCTAGTGTCGTTACCCCATGTCTGCCGAATGGCGCGTCGCTGGGCGTGGTTTCCTGGCGACGAGGTAACCATGACGACGAGAATGACGTCACCACCGCTGCATTTCTCAGGACTGTTGATGACGTAGGTGTACGGATATGGACTGATGACAGCTGATTCGTTGGTGTTCGAACGGACGGACCCATTCACTGTCATGTTACCTGAATGAATGAATGAATTGATGAGTGAACGAATGAATGGGTGGATATATGAATGAATGGATTTATGAATGAAAGAATGGGTAGATGGGGGGGGGCGCATGGCATAGCGGCAGCGTGCTCGACTCGGAACCAAAAGGTCCCGGATTCGAGTCCTGACATGCCACCGATCTTGTGCTCTTGGGAAAGGCACTTTGCACGACTTTCCTGAGTATTGTCTTGTCCTGTATTTGTCCTCTAGATCTGCGTTCGTGGCGGCATAAAATAAGTTGATATAACTTGAGTGTGCCGTCACCATGTCTACTCATGAAATGTTGGAATAATAAAATGGGTAGATGGCCATTATGAATGAATGAATGAATGGATGGATGGATAGATGGATGGATATACGAATGAATGGATGGGTAGATGAATGAATTGAAGACCAAATGAATGAATGAATGGATGAATTGATGGGTGACTATATTGACGGATAAATTAATGAATGAATGAATTGATGGGTGGATGAATGAATGAATTTATGAATGAATGGGTGGATGGATGGATGAATTGATGGGTGGATGAATGAATGGATTTATGAATGAATGGGTGGATGGATGGATGGATGGATGAATTGATGGGTGTATGAATGAATGACTTTATGAATGGATGGATGGATGGACGGATGAATAGATGGATGAATAAATGGATGAATTTACGAATGAATGGATGAATAGGTGAATGAATACTATTGAAGACTGAATTAATCAATGAATTGATGGGTGAATAAATTGTTGGATGAATGTATGAATTGATAGGTGGATGAAGGAATGAAGGAATCTAGGGATGGAGGGATGAATGGAGGGATGCTAACCGTATGTATCGCCCGCACAGCTAACTAACAAAAAGACAACACATGTACCTTCTGAAGCATTCCGGTTTGACGTTTGACTGAGATGGGGGTTTTGTTGGAACCAGTTGATGTAGATAAATCCTGCGAAGATGCCCAGACAGACGACTGTCTTCAAGGTCAGTCTGACCTTCACGCGGACCATGGCTGTTCTTCCGGTCTGTAATATGAGGAGAGTCTGTAATCACGTGACTATGGCGTATTATGGCACACACACACACACACAAGCACACACACACAAGCACACACACACGCACACACAAGCACACACACACACAAGCACACATGCACACACACGCGCGCTTAAACAAGACTTGAGGTGACAAAAAATGATATCGCAACCAAACAGATGTTTCATTCTTGTATTATATATTATTATTAATAAGGCTTTTCTGGCGTTTCCTCATAAATTATGCAAATAAGGTACTGATTTGAATAAATTATGTTTAGTGATGCTCACCATCAACTTCCAATTATGGCAAGTATTAAATTCCCAACAGTTACCAAAATAAGATTGTACCAATTTTCCTTTAATTATGCAAATTAGGTCTTCATTTGCATACTCAATATCTGCCAATGATCTTGTCGTTCTCAATTACATATGTCTAAAGTGTTTCATAGCCCTAATATGGAATACAGCAGATTTATAGAATATCCTCATTAATTATGAAAATTAGATCCTGATTTGCATAATTTTATCTTAATTATGTCAAGCATCACTTAAGCTACTTACAGACCAAAAATCTCGACGATCCATCAAACATTTATTTAAATTGTTGATGTTTCGTTAATCAAAACAGCCCGGCCGGGCCCCAGTTTGGAAATGTGACCTCAGCATGAGGGACAGCTGGGCCACCAAACATTGCCCCGGCGGTCGGTGAATGTTAAAGATGAGGAACGAGTTTCTCTTTTTGTTTTACGATTTGTATGTTTTGTTGTCTTTTAGATCCTACTTTTATATCTTATATCGTGCGTTATGTTCCAATCGTTCAATCAACTGAACTTTTTTTAGACGGAGTAGTTCAATGCAAGGCCTATACGACCACTTCTAGGCATTGCACTAGACATATGAGAGAAACATGGCTATGTCAAGAGATGGCGGTGAACGTTTGATTTGAAAGCCTGTAGCTTGTAGGTTGGTGGGAAACACTTGTCAGGGAGGGAAGTCCAAAGCTTGGCCGTACGGGGAAAGAAACTGTCACTTTAAAAGGATTTCGAACAAGGAATCTGGAATTTTGGAGAACCTAGTGGAACACTGAAAAGTTCTGAGTGGTGAAACTAGTTGGGTGAGTTCTGCAAAGCAATGACCATGAGCAGGAACTGAACTGTACATGCTCCAATCAATTGGTAATTATTTGGGGGATCGTTTTCATTATAATTTTACCTCGTACACGCCGTGCAATAACAGTAATTCATGCCGGGCAATAGCCGCTGACCTATACAGTGCAATAAGCCAAACAACACAAACCGCGCAATATACTCTTTGTAATGCTATTCTTTTATTGAAAATAACTACTACAGTAATACAGATGCTTTTTTAAAATAATGTTCAATTAATATATAGTTAATCCCAGATTTTAAACCTCTTATCACTAAGTTTGATCAATTTAAATGTCATCTGTGTATGTAATAGTCGTTGTCATTGTTAATGTTGTCCTGCATGCTCGGCCATTACTGGCTGGCATGACCTGGAGTTCTTGTATATTTCTTGTTCACTGAATAAAGAATGATTTACACATGAATGTGTATTTGGTTCAACTTGCCTAGTATACATACACACACGCGCGCGCTAAAAACAATACCTCCATTTTCATGGAGGTAAAAATACTGCCTTGTTCAGCAACTTCTTATTTCGTCCTGAGTCATACTATGGCAGCCCACCACAGAGCACTGAAGCCGACTGTAGGTGGGCGGTAGTAGCCATGGGAGGCGACTGGGCGCCGGGCCAACACAACACAGCATTTATAACAGTGCATAGTAACGTTACATGGCCAAAGATACAACAGTACAATCATTACATGTTTCTACGATTGACCACGAATCTCACGGTCAAAGTCATTTCTTCATATCACAGGACAAAGAACTATAAGTTGACATCACACCGAATTCAAAATTATTCATGAAACTTTTATTGATACACTTATTAAAAATGTAGTAAATATAATAGTGGTTAGGGATAAATAAAGTACAGAGTACATTACAGTAGATATCTACACATACAAATGCCAGTGTAATAAAGTTACCAGGTAAATGTCTGTAGTGCTCAAGCTCAAGCCTATTGACGCTATATGATGGTTAATAACGAAATATGAAATTAATATTATATAAAAGTTAAAAAAACTAAAAAAAAACTGATTATCTGATACGGTTACCATTTAGGCTTTTAAGTAAAACTACATATTCAGCACAGAGCAGACAAAAGTAACAAAAAGACACCATTTTCTGGAATAGTAACCGCATTTCCTTGGAAGGAATCAAAGAACTAATCTGCAAGCATACAAGTATTCTTCGGGGAAAGGGGAGTTTATATTGGCCAAGTCGGTTACAGGAGGTCAATATAGACTGCACTTGCTCCACAGAATCTGCTTGGAGATTATGAGAGAACTTACTCCAAAAAACAATAACAGTCTGGTAAACTTGATCTTGATCTACACCCTACAGCGGTAGAAGGGGCACGTCATCCCCATCTCCGAACCACTGTTCGTCTGGATCTGGTAATAGAATGTCATCTTGCAGTTCCGGAATGTTCCGCATGGGGGCATGGACCTGCACTTCCACAATGTTCCTTACTGGAGCCTGTTCTTGCTGTTCCTGAATGTTCCGTACCGGCTCTTCCGGAATGTTCCGTTCCGGAGCGTTCTGTTCCGGACCCTGTACCTGCTGCTGAGGCTCTGGGTCCCGGGGTAGAGGATCGCCTAGAGCGTCTCGCAGCCGCCTCCAGAACAGCGGCCTTTTCCGCACGTCGTGTGGCCACTCCAGGTACGTGTCTCTCTTTACTACGGCGTTCAGATGGCGGAACTGTTTCAGCATTTCGTTAGGAATCCTCTCCAGAAACACCAGGATGAGACGCACCCCTCCCCCCTCCTCAAACATGTGGTACTGGGCCAGCTGGAACTCGTACTCGCACCACTTACTCTTCAGGAAGTTCCTGGTGATGAGGCAGACGGTTCTCCGGCTGTTTTCCACGGCATCCGCGATGTTTTCCACAATGGGAGCGCCCACTGCAAAGTCCCTTTCGTGTATTACCAGACTGTAGTCAGGTTCCAGATTCTCTATCGCTTCATGTATAACCCACCGGACGTCCCGGTTGTTGTAGGCAAGAAAAGCATCGTGCGTGTATCTGGGCGGATCTTGGTTCTTGACTTCGCCAATCTTCGGTCTCCTCCACTTGTCCAACATCCACAGGTAGTACTGAACACGGCCGACGTGGTAGTCGACCAGGAAAATGGTCGTCATGGCGACGAAGATGCCAGAAGAGGCGAGTACACAAGCCAGGAGGCGGTTGGGCCGGAATCCATGACTACAGACTATGTCGAAAAACTTTCGTTCCGATGGATCCTGTCTGTCCTTAGATTGTTGTTTCTGCGTCAACCCGTCTTTCAAACGTCTTCCACGCAATCCAGCTGGACGGTAACATGTGTACCCTTGACCTAAGTCAGGATAGGGGTTGTGGAAGTTCGCTACCCTGTCGTATTTATCCAGGGCCCACTCGACAAACCACATTGACTTACAGTCACACAGGAACGGGTTGTCTGCAATGTGGATAGACTCTAACCGATAGACAACAGGACCCAGTGTTGTTTGATTTAAAACAGCTAAACTGTTGCTCCTCAGATTCAGGTGTCTTAACCCGTACAGACGCTGAAAGGCGTCCCCAATCACTGCTATCCTGTTGGCTTCCAGGTTTAGATGTGTAAGGTTACTTAAACCTTCAAATGTTGACTTAGTTATATTCTTTATCTTGTTGTTTCTGAGATCCAGGAACTGTAGCCCCGATAGTCCACGGAAGGCGGATGGCATAACGGTGCTGATCTCGTTATGACTCAGATCCAGGAACTGTAGCCACGATAGTCCACGGAAGGCGGATGGCATAACGGTGCTGATCTCGTTATGGCTGAGATCTAGGAACTGTAGGCGCCATAGTATACTGAAGGCGGATGGCATGACGGTGTTGATAATGTTATGACTCAGATCCAAATGTTCCAGCTGGTACGTTGTCAGTTGCCCTTTTTCGATACGCTGGATTTGGTTGTGAGAAAGAGTCAGCGTTTTCAAGCTTCCCCTTATTGCTCCTGGTATTTCATCTCGTATTTTTGTTATACCATTGTTATCCAGCCTAAGTGTTTCTATAACTGATTGCCAACAAGTACGAAAATCAACATGTCCAAAAAAATGATCGAGTTCATTATTAGAAAGGTCAAGATACCGTAAACTCGCAATGCAGTGTGTATAGGAGAATGCTCCCAATCTGTTGTGTTGCAAATCAAGCACAGTGATATTCCGAGGGAGACAATCGACGAGAACTTCTTCAATTTCATTATGACTCAAATTCAGATGATTCACGCTTTTTAAACCACTGAAGTTAAATGATATAGGGTTGGAACATGGTGTTTGACCTGTGTCTCTGTTGTTGTGTAACTTATTGTGACTGAGATCAAGATAGTCCAAGGTCTCTGGAAGCTGAGCGTGGGAGGTCTCCAGCCTGTTCTGGCTCAAATCAAGATGACTGAGTGAGGACAGTCCTTCAAACGAGTATTGTGGTAAAGTAGAAATCCCGTTTTGTTCCAAGTTAAGATGAGTGAGCGAGGACAGTCCTTGAAACACGTATTGTGGTAAAGTAGAAATCGCGTTTTGTGCCAAGTTGAGATGAGTGAGCGAGGGCAGTCCTTGAAACACGTATTGTGGTAAAGTAGAAATCGCGTTTTGTGTCAAGTTAAGATGAGTGACTGAGGACAGTCCGCTGAACGCCTTGTCGTGTAAAGTTAACGTCTCGAGACCCGACGTCAGATCCAGCCTTTGCAAATGTAACAAACCCACAAAGGCGTTAGCTTCTATGGCGACCAAAAAACCGACGTGAAAAATCAAAGTTTTCAAACTTTTCTGGCCTTTTATTCCCGCAAGAGTATCAGATGTTAATTTGAGCATTTTCACCCCGTCTATTGACAACTCCTGAATCTGCGTGTGTCGGAGTTCAGGCAGAACGTCCATAATGTCGGGATATGAAACATCAGAGATGTCCAGCGTCTGCAGATGTGTGAGTGACTTCAGCAGGCCGGGAGCTATCGGAGCGCCAGTGCGTAAATGTCTCACAGTCGGTAATAACGGCCGGAACATTTGAGCATTGAGGGGGGGACCAGATGGATTAATTTCTATAGTCTCTAATCTAGACATATTTGTAAATACAGGTCCAAAGTACAAGTCACTGTCTCTTTGTAGATAATTGAGACTCAATGTTTTAAGGTTGTGCAGCGGTGCCCACAGCAGGCGTCGTTGTAAGAACCCACTTCCGCTGTGAACCCTTCTCATGGTGGTATTTAGGTCCTCAGGTTCGAAGAAATGGTCCCATATCTCTAGACTTTCCAATGAGGTCAAAGAATCAAAAATATGATCGGGTAAATTGCCGATATTTTTCACGCGGACTACTAAATGTCTGAGTTTAGATAACCCCTTGAACACTCCCTCACTGGCGACTGTATCGGTGTAAGTCTCCATGGCCAGATAGTTCAAGTTTCGCAGATCTTGGAATATTCCATTATGAAGAGGATACATTTGTTCCGTAATTCCTACATAATTCGTATCCGTAATTCCTAAATACGACTTATCAATTTCTAGAAGTTGTAATTTTTCCAACTTTGCAAACGCACCGACCTCGATAGTCTCTATAGGATTGTAAGACAGGTCTAAGGATCTCAGGTTTCTTAACCCACTAAACGAGCCGTTATGCAGTACAGTTACGTTGTTCCAACTGAGATCCACCGTGATGACAGACTCGGGGATGCCGGGAGGTACTTGGGTTAGAGGCGCATGGGTTGGAGTATCCCTCCAGTCCTCTTCACACACGACAGTTGTTGAGTTCCAGGTCTGACACACAGTTGGGGAGAAGAGGTGTCCTCTAACCCGTCCATGTTGGGCGATGAACACGGAAACCACAACCAAGCACACGGCGAGAGGAGCGGGTTTAGACTCCATGTCGTTCTGGTGGCGTTTTTCTCAGGTTCGTCTCGTTACGCGGACCGGTGGAGAGTACGATATGAACACCTGAAGTTGAAACAAGCGGAGGGGGGCTTAGATTTACATAATGCATGAGGCGTACATATACATGTTCATGTCCATTCTTGCAAGAAATTGAAATTCATTCTGGACGTACCACTTCAGTTTGCTGTATGTAAACAAAATACCACCCCAGTTTCCTCAAAGAAAAGTGTCACGGCCATAGGGACTTAGTCAAAAGTGTCAGTCAACAGGAACAGTCCAGAGAGGAAAAAAGTGTTGGCAAGGGGAAAGATGGGGATAATAACCGATAATGGACTGGCAGGACACTTTGTGAAACGTTAAGAAAAACAGAAAACCGAGAAGGGAGAAAACAAGAGGCCAGATTGTCTGTGGTGCCCCAACCATGCAACGCGCTTCTAAAAAGGGGCCTGCCAGAAGGGTTCTTGTTTCAACACCAACACCAATGCATTGTATAACGTCACAGCCGTATCTGACACGGTGTTTCGTCCTAATAGCGAGGGGTGAAGCGAGAAGTTTCTGGTTGGCTGTTTTTAGGCAGAGTGATTCTGTTTTCTGGACTAAAAGTGCAGAATGCATACTTGTTTCTCTATTAATTATCTAAATCTGGTCAGTTTCTGACTTTTAAAGTACATAGTGAGACGGTACGGCTTGTTACACGGTCCGGTGCCCCCTTCCCCCTTCACCCGCCCCACTAACATTGACGCCTTTGGTAAACTTTTACAAGGAATAAACGAGTTGTATAAAGAAGTTTTTTTACCCACCTTGACAGCAAGATGTCTGTGAGAAGATCTGTGGGGAAGGGGTGGCGATTAGGGTCTGTCGTCTGAACCACCCGTCTGTCTGCGACCTGCTTAGAAGCCTGGATGTCTGGAGCGGCGGTGGGGGAGGAGTGTGCGAAGAGTCGGCCGTCTGTCGTCTGAAACACCCGTCTATCTGCGACCTGCTTAGAAGCCTGGATGTCTGGAGCGGCGGTGGGGGAGGAGTGTACGAAGAGTCGGCCGTCTGTCGTCTGAAAGACCTGCTTAGAAGCCTGGCACTCGCGCGTGATTCCGCCCAGTGCTGCTCGTTTGTGTATTCCGCACAGCAGTCACGGCTTCTGCGAAAGTGAGGCAATGCATTACATAAGCCGCAAACAATGTCATGAGTGAGGTCTGGGCAAGACCGTGAGATATTCACGCGTTTCCTTGTTAGTCATCGCAGGTGCCAGGTACGTGAAGATCTCTCCGGTACTTGAATTTTGGCGCTCCCAGCCCCGAGGACACACTTAAGCTTCTGTTGTGCATAATAGGAGCTTTCTGACTTTTGTCTGACGTTTGTTCCCTTTTCGACTTCCAAAAAATTGTCTTCACTTTATTTGCATATCAATCAATAGTTTGTGCTTATAAACCTGCATTTCCCCTCTGGTCTCTCAGTCACTGACGAAAGCTAGTGGATACTAGCTGAAACGTTTGACCGTGTCCAAAATCATATCCAGTTGCTTTAGAAACTGCTTTTTGGCGTACATGAAGGTATGTTTGTGTAAACAGACTGTCCCATATAGCCTCTACCAGGCTTCGGGAGGCGGCCGGAAAGAGTGAAAATTCTCAACAAGGACACGCCTTCCACTGAAGCAAATCACCCTTTCTTCCTCCATTCTCCACCTCTTAGGAGGAAGCTCCACGCTGAAAGCTTCTTTCCAAGAACAACATGGAGAACACTTTGGAATAAGTTACCTCGTGATTGCTTCCCCTATGAGTATAACCTTAAACTCTTCAAGTCTAAGGTCAACAAATATCTGTTATCACTGACTGTTCTGTAACCCAAAACATTTGTGGCTCCCATGAGCCTTGTTTTGTGGTGACCGATGAAGTAAATAAATAAATAAACAAGAGTACCGAGATTTCATACCTCCATGAAATATGGGCTTGATATGTAAATGTAAATGTAAATGTCTTCTTTAACTAGAAAGGCCAATATCTGCTTTGGAGCAAATACAGCGATGGGTTCACCACATTTTACCACATGGCAGGGAAAGAATGAGAAACACAAGGGAAAACATTATTTACATTGATATAACTATAATATGAAGTAACATACAACTAAAACAACAGTTGGATAGCTATTCCCTACTTTATTGGTTAGGATTTTTAATTGCATAATGCAAACTGTTGATTTTCAAAATAAAATAAAAAACGTTCATGCCCCGCATTCCAATGCTGGAGCAGAAAAGCTTGAAATACCTACCAAAACACTTGAATAAAGACATACTGTCAGTATGGAAATGCTCTGTGCAGGTGTTAATCAAGTTAAATCCCAACAGCCAATCAGCAAGAAATGCTCTGTGCAGGTGGAAATGCTCTGTGCGGGTGTTAATCAAGTTAAATCCCAACAGCCAATCAGCAAGAAGTATAGAGGAAAGCTGCATGCCTATTGGTTGATGCCCTGCATTCCATTGTGATGACTCATGCCCAGACGTGGTAAACACGGCACACTTACACAGTAATACATTTGCTATAACACAGCCAAAAAACTCAAATAAAACCATTCTAAAAGCCTGTATCACAAAAATTTAAAAAACGCCTAGGGGTATTTGTCCACTGTCCCTTCATACCAAATTTCAGGACCTTAGGCCCTAAAATGAAGAAGCTGAATCCATTTAAAGATATGGCAGGAGGAGGAGAAACATCAGAAAAAGCAATATGGGTTCACCACCACTTCGTGGTGTGGTGAACCCATAATTATGCAAATGTCCTCTGCATTAACATGATATATGTATCGTGATGTATGTTAACTTTTGATTAACTTACAGATGTCCCAAGTATGACATTCCCTTCATTCACCATTAAGAAATCATAGAATGTTCGCATTAATTATGCAAATTAGGTCATCATTTGCATAATTAGTATCTGTTGATGTTCCATCTGCCATAGGTTACATACGTTACATGTATGATAGTACTATAATGTAAAACACTGTAATTATAGAATTTCCTCATTAATTA